ACTGCCTTTTCAGGGAATTCTGTATTCATTATGCCTTCTTGTCCCCGTCAAGTTGATGCTAATTACCGAGGGCTCACACCCGTGGTGCCGCATGGACTGGCAGTATCTGTATCCTTGTTGCATACCCCTTGAAGCTGTTAGGGCTAAGCCATCGAGCAGATAAATGCTTCTCGACTGGTACCTGCCAAATGACGCAGTTATCTATTTCTACTGTCTACAACCCTGCAACCCTTGTTGTGGTAGGCAGTCGGAAGCAACTCCTGCATTGAGTACCTTTCTAGGTCTTCGCAAAGCTATGGTACCTGGACGAAAGCTACGGAATATACAAAGGATCAATGTAATAAACTTGACACCATTCACAACGCCTGCTTTCAACCTTGTCGATAATCTAAAATATCAAAAGGGTCACAAGGCATTGCTTACCCCTTACGACGACCTCTTCAGGGTAATTTTACCTCTTCAGGAAGTTTTCGTCTTGGCCTCGCTATCATCTGCTTATGCCTGTTCTCAGCTAGTGACGAGCTGGACCAAAGGCCAGGATCACCCACAATCAAGGTGGAGCGTATTAAGCTATTTAAGCGTGAGTAAACGCCTCGTCTGCCATGGACAAGGTATATTATTTCTGTGCCCCGTATCCTTATGCTAAGGCACCTCTGAGAGGAATGGCTGGTGACCCCTTTTCAACCTTGCCAAATGCGACTCTCCGGCTAGCCAGCCCCTAACGGGCCTCCCGATTAGCCCGGGTCAATATTTCTGAGACGTCATATACTCCTTCACAACCATCTGCAGAAAGGGTCTTACCGCCGGAGAACCCTTGAGGCTGACGTTGACCCGCTCTTGACGATCTTGGCGAAATGGAATCAGATGTGGCTACAGACTATCGTATAATATTTCGCTGGTATTGCCATTTTGAGATGGTCAAGGATTGGAAAGGGGCGGAGACGTGGCAGATGGTCATATACCGCCTTCCTGAGAGCTATAACCTATTCTGGACGTCAAACACCTCAACTTATCTCGGCAACCCCGGGTAGATGATGATAATCAGGCATTGCTACTAGCATGTAATGAGAGCTGGGTTTTATGGCAGGGTGTAAAGTATATAAGTCGTCTTTCCTTAATCACTTGAGAGGAAAGTGTTCTGACTCAGTTTTGCTTTATCTTGTCCAAATGTCTACTTCTACTCTGCAATTCAAGGCATGGCAGCCACCAAAGCCGAAGCCGAAGCGGAAGCGGAAGCCGAAGCAAACAAGTGCTGATCTTACATCAACAACAAACCCTCAGCAGCATATGAAATTCCTCCAAATGCCTTCAATCCACAACAATCTTGTCCTTCCAGTCGACAATGAGGCACTCAACTGCCATCAGACACAGAGGGTCCAGCGGTCCCCTAGGGGGGGTTTCACTGTTCAAACCCTATTAGAACAGGACACTGGAGCTTTCAGTTACGGGAAACCATCCAATGAAGACCCAGCAAGCATTTTAAGCCAGCCCAGCGCATTCCTTAGGAATTGCCGGTGGTACAGACTTGGACGACAGTACTATCAGCCATTGCCAAGCCGCTGCTTTTACGGAACAGCCACCAGCGTGTCATGACATTAATCACATTGTGGATATGTGTAAGTAATATACTTATCACGAGAAAGCTTTGACTGATCTTGTTACCCAATAGCAGGTATTGAAGATTGTAACAACAATTATAGCAGCCCAGAAAATGCCAACCCCGATAACTCTACCTGGTCTCAAGCCACACCTGCGTCGAGCCTGGACTGCACAAACGACCTCGAGGATGTTGAAGCCCGTTCTCTAGCGGTCAAACTATCTGCAGATATACCGGTCACCTCTTTCTCCGAAAGTCTATCTCCTCAACTGTGCCAAAAACCCTTGGCTGCCAACACTAGCAGTGGTGCTCTAATGCCAAACCCCAATACTTCCGAGCCCGTTCTGAACGACACTTCCCGACCCCGCTGCACAAGGTCTTGTGACAACCATCCAGAATCTGATGGAGAGAGGTCCTCTGATAACCTTGTCTTGAGCCCTAGTTAGACAAAGGAATACATTGAAGGAACCAAAATACACCCTCGGGCTGAATCATCTGTGGATCTACTGACGGCCCCCTCCTCTATTACAGAAAGGGCAACACCGCCAAGAAGCTTGCGCTTGCTGCTTTCTCGAATGCCAGTAGGCAAGCTGGGCGGGTCGATCAGTCATCATGCCCCCAGCCAAACCAAGCGGTCATCCGGTACTCAAAAGCGGCATGCAGAAAGTCTGCCCGCAAACCTACCGATAGAGAAGCGACGAGCCAGTGGCCGATCCCTCTGTGACCAAACCAAACAGAGAACGCCTATCTCGGAGGGCGTAGCAGATACCGAGCGAGTTCAGTCACGTGAATTTCAAAGCCGAAATCTATAATACAACGACAACCTTCATGCGAGCACTCGAAGTAGTGGCAGGCCTGGTCACGAAGTACCGAGCTTAAGAGAACTTGCCTCTCCTACTGTTGCAGTCCCAGAACCACTTGCGGCAAGTTGTAACACTGGTGGCTTTTCTGCTAGGTATATCCTCGAGTTATGTAATGTGGTTGAAGTTATACATAAAACGGAGAACAGTATGACCATAATGCAGCTGGTTATTGGTTTCATTTGCAACTATGCCACCCAGACACTTGCCACACAAGGTGGGCAGGCTGCAGATATGAACCGCTCCCATAACGGTGTGGCTCGCAGCCCCTTTGTTATTCCTTCCATGATGCCAGTACCTTTAAACAGCATGCGAAACGGACGCATCAAAAGCGTCAAGAGCGATAGCGATGCAGGAAGCCAGGCAGGTAGCTATGACTCTGTCCCGGACGAAAGTGCCGGTTCAGAGGAAGAGGACGACACAATGATCAAGAGAAGTCGATAGACAGAACTTGAAGAAGGACAACTACGGGGCTGGGTAATAAAAGAGAAGGGATAGCCATGGATTGCGCACAAATTGGGCCGAAGCGAAGGGGCTGTCTCACAGCATTAGGCCATTATGTTAAAGCAAGGCTGGGAGGTATAATAGGGTGAACAGTGTCTTGTCAAAGGCTTGTTCATAAGGCATTTCATGTGTCTTTGTTGCGTTTTTTTGTAGTTTAAAAGGCGGTTTTATTTGATAGATGTTAGCATTATGCAGTGTATATTCCATGTTATACAGGTTTAATCAGCGTAACTTCATTGGGAAAGACAAGTCAGTAGATTGATGTCATAGGCCATATGGCAGGCCCTGACAGAATAAGACGGGGTAAAAGGATACATATCGTTGTCATGCTGGCAGAATAAGATGGGCAGAAAGGATTGTCATGCCGGCAAAATAAGACGGGCAGAAAAGGTACGTACTGTCATTATGCCCGGCAGGATAAGATGGGCAGGAAAGGTACGTACCTACGGCTAGGTGTAGCAAAATCGGTACATACCTTGGTAGGGATTGGCAGAAAAGGTACGTACTTGTCAGCGCAGATTCCACGACATCGGCAGAATATCGCTAATCTGTGCTTGTCGTGGCAGGCGCAAGCTCTACAGCCACTACCTCATTGTGCGAGGCTGAGGGGAGGCGCTATTCCTTTGGCTTCACTACCTGCCTTTGACCCCTCTGCTACCCATTTAATCATAACCACTTTTTACATAACCATTGTGCTTGCAGTAAGCAGGTAGGTTTTCAGATCAGCCGGTCTTGTCAACAAATTTTAATTTTGGTCATAAGCTCCTTTGCTCCTTTCCTCCCTTGATGTTACAACTACTAACTGGATGTGCGAATAGAGACTTGGCTCCAAATATCCTTCTCTATCAAACCCGATCCACGCGACGCGTCATCTACGGACCTGCCCTCCGACACCCTCGATACTACCGCCGTCTACATAACATCCACAACTCCGCCACTGTTCAATATGAACACTGCTAGCTATTAAACGGCAAGAGTTAAGGTCGCCACTTTGGCTTGCTGTTTGAGCTGTGGCAAGAAGTACGACCCAGCACGCAGCCTTCGATAGCATCATTTCCCATACGCTAACGACAATGGGGCCATCAGTCCATACGACAGTACCCGCCACGGCCATATTGCCATACGCGAGACCCTGCAGAACATTCAATCGACAGCAGTTGCCTTCCGCGATGGGCTTGCGGTTGACGTTGTCCCTCAGCTGCTGGCCAGACTGCTGATGGCATTCAAAGCCCAGAAAGTCAGCATGGACGAGGCAGAATGGGTCTTACAAGAGACGGCCCATCACCCTGGCTGTAACCGGATCACCTGGTGGATCATGGACAACGACAGTGGCGATCCTATTGCAGCTGTCAGCATTTAGATGATGGCATGCGTGGCATGGTGATAACAGCAACTGAGTAAAATGTATTAACAAACGCAGTGCTCTTCACATCGTGAAGCACTGCGCCCTGTGAACCGGCCCACAAAATAAAAGGTCGACAGGCAGGAAGAGATAAGGTGCCATTGTCGCCTATGCTGTTCTAAACGTCAAGCACGAACAGCCCACAAGCCGCTCATTTTAAACACGTATTGTAATACTTATTTATGTATGACATTATGGTCGTTTTCTTTGCTTCCCGACCATCTGACACTTTTTATTAAGGAAGTCGAGTTGCTAAACTCAGAAACAGTCACTGCTCAAGAATCTCAGCGATTCTATTATGCCCATTCTTTCTCGCTACCATGAGAGCAGTGTCCCCTAGGTCGTAAGACGGCCGAGTATAAGGTGCATTTTGGATAGTTGTTTCCGAGATCATACTGACTTTGTTTGTGATCAGGAATAGGCAGACTACCTGTTCATGACCATGTGCCGCTGCGATCCATAATGGTGTCATACCCCATATGTTCTGTGTATCTGGTGGTGTTCCGATCTGGAGAAGCTTTTTTGCTGTGGTTGTGGTTCCTGATACTGCCGCTTTATACAGTCTAGTGATAGCAAAATCCTCCTCTTGAATAGTGACGATACAGGCTTGGCGGGACAGGAAGCGAAGAATATCGAGTTAGCCACAAGCAGCAGCAATACGTAAAACAGCATTAGAGATAAAGGATCTGGTCAGTAAGCTTCGGTCAAGAAGTAGCGACATCACCTCCTTGCCATTCCTCCCGTTTCCTGCTGCCGCCTTGACCACTTCTTCTGTGACAGGGACCTCGTCTCCTTGTCGGTCAAGAAACAGCGCCATCACCTGCTTGCCATTCCAATAGTTCCCTACTGCCGCCTTGACCACTTCTTCTGTGACAGGGACCTCGTCTCCTCGTCGGTCAAGAAGCAGTGCCATCGCCTCCTGGCCATTCCCTTCGTTCCCTACTGCCGCCTTGACCACTTCCTCTGTGATGGGGACCTCGTCTCCTAGTCGGTCAAGAAGCAGTGCCATCACCTCCATGCCATTCTTCCCGTTCCTTGCTGCCGCCTTGGCCACTTTGATACTCATCTGTGCCTTGTACTCTAGCAATTGTGTGATTACAATCTCATTCCCACCAATGGCTGCCACACTCGGTGGAGTTTTGTTGCGACTATCGTCCCATTCTAATATTGCCATAATATCAGAAGCCATCTGCTGATGTAGACTGTTACACAAGTAGTAAAAAATGGCTGGGATGCCCAATATCCTGCGATGTGTAAAATTGAGGCTCATATTGGGAGTGTCATGTGACCACTGTACCGGTTACTGGCTCAATAAAGCCAAGCGTCTCTAAATAGAGACTTGACTTCAAAAAAAATCGCCTGTGTATGCTTGACTTTGAACTTGTTTCCTGCAAGTCGCGTGTGTGAATACCAATAATCAGATGCGTATGAAGAGAACTCTTTCTCCCATCGTAGACGAGCCTTGATCAGCTCAAAATCGCGAATGAGCTGATCTACACACTTGTATGCCATGTCCGTATGGAAATACACTTCCTAGACCCATTGTTGCGCATTGTCGCCGGCGAGGAAATCCTTTACCGACTGGTGCAGCAGGAGAACCTGCTCATCCTGAATGACGACCAGAAGCCAGCAGGTGGTAATATTGTCTCAAGTGAACTGAATGCGTGTCTCTTGGTCCTCGTCAAGGTAAGTCTGGCAAGCTGCAGCTAACTTTGAGACGCTGAGTGGCCGAAACGATACCGCGACGAGACCTAGAATTTGTTTGACTACTTTGGCGTTTTGCCAAGGAGCGTTAAGAGCATTGTCAAGTAGTGTTTTGTACAAGGCATTTAGCCCAGACGGCATCTGCTTTAGGTGGTCGACCGCACTTTTTGAAGGAACCTGGTCTAGCTCCCCGCATGCCAAGCTGACTCAGAGGAAAGTGCTCTCGGATTTTTCTTCCAAGATATCTGTGACCTGCTTCTTTACGCTGTCCGTGTACTGCTTTCTGGCCGCAAGCTCTATAACCTTTTTGCTAATAAAGCGATGTATGTCCCTTTTCGACTCGGGAAATGAGGCTAGGTCCTTGTTAGAAAACACCTTTAGACGTTCTTGGATTTCAGGGTAAGGTAGGCTTGTGACGAGTAGTTGGATGTCGGTTGCAGAGCTCTTGTGTTGGAAATCTTGCTGCAGTTGTTTTATGAGAATCTGCTGCGATTCTTGATCACACTCATCCAAGGCATTGATGATGAAGAATTTATGGCCGGTGGCTTTATTGGCGGCCATTTTGTGCAAAATAGTCCATAAAGCGTCAAATAAATCAAAGATCTTCTTTCCGCGCTTGTGGTATTTTAGCAGGAGGTAGTCGAGGAGAAGTCGCGGATGTTGTTGAATGAGCTGCAGGATAAGCCCTCGGACCACTGACGTCACTGACCTAGGGGTGTCGAAACTGGAATCACAGAAGAAATAGGAAAGGGTTTTCTGGTCTGTGTGGCGGAACTGCTCCCGGAGTACCCCGGCAAGGCAAATGGCCATAGTGGACTTCCCAGTCCCTGGGTTTCCATGCAGCCAGAGAACATTTGTCGATGCCACCGCGTGCTTAGAGCCAAGCCAGGAAGCGAGCTCTTCTGTTTTGAGTATCCATTTGCAAGTGCCTTTGGCGCGGTCACCCTTCTTGCGTTGTAGAGATTTCATATCCTCGAAAGGATCCGTCTCAAAAAGATCGGAGTGACATTTTTTGGCTTGTGGATTTTCGGCCAGGACATCTTTTACACCAGTTAGCTAGGCCGTTTCATCCGAGCCAAAGGGCCGACTTACCTTCTAGTTTGTTATCTACTACGTGTGATTATTATCAGCAAAAGAGCGAGGGGAGATAAGAAGATATTTCTCTAGGGAGATACTATGACGTACTATGACAAAAGCTTCTCGTTATGCGAGGTACATCTTTGGCCACGATCGTCTCGAGCCTTTGCCGCACAACGAGATACATGCCACGAATGTTCGAGTCATATTTTACAAGCCCTGAGTGATCAGTGTCCAGGCTGACATTGTCTTCATCAGCTTCCGCGGTCAAGCCTGTGCTTGTAGCGGACTTCTTTGTCACTAGTAGCATCTGCGGACCGGTTTTTGTAATGCGCCCATCAGCCTGTATCTAGATAACTTTGAGTATTTTATCAATAGAGGTAATTGCGTGGATCTTACCTGCACAGTCCGGGTGTACTTTGTCTCGAAAAAGGAGATAACTCGGTACTTTCCTTTGCATTGACTGGAAAAATCACCAAAAATTCTTGCCAGATAATCAGAGGGCTCGGAATCGTGATCAACAAGTAGTGCGTGAATTAGCTTCTCGTTAGGTTGGCCATAAACAAGACTCTGTAGCTGCTCATTTCGGAGCCCGAGATTTAGAACACCAAAAAAGAGTAATCCACAGCATGCGCGGGTCAGTTCGAGATTGGCTTCTATGGACAATTTCTTCTGGGCGTATAGTAATGCCTAGTCACAATTAGCCGGGCGATCGGGCGTCCCGTAACAATTGGCTTACTTCTTTGATAAGGAGCCTGCTCAGGCTATGTCCGATAAAGATTATGGGACGACGGGTACTCTACCTTGAGATGAGCATTGTACCGTAGATCTAGGCTTGGACGCACATACCTCGGTACTGGTTCGGAATGCCACAAGGTCCTTGAGAAAAGATGACCCCATGTTCTCGATCGACTTCCTGGAATCGCTCTTTAATAGCTTCGTGTCATAGCCATAGATAAGTACTCGCGCATTGGGTATATCCGCGGGCAGGTAATCTTGCAGCCAGATATCGTTGCTGCGAGGAGACTTCCACGACCCGAATGCGTGGCTTGCAAGGCCGGGCACTATAACGATGCTAGTGGTGAGACACAACAAGTCAGCAATTGAAACAGCAGTCAAGTGATGATTGTAGATAGTCTCACTCGACATCAACTCGGGTTACGCCCGTGTAAAGCGGTGTGATGTCATAGAAGTCTGAGTCGTACTTGTACTTCCACTCTCCGCTGGCCTGTTATAGGCGGCGCACCAACTCGATCTCTGGGATTGATGTGTGGAAAGTGGCAGTAGCGCAGGCCCAGCGGCTGTCCCTAGGGGCTAGAGTGATACGGCTGACGCTGCGAATGGTGTCCCACAAGCCTGGGGCTTGTGTAATTATCGCCCTCAGTTCGCTGTCCAGGGCTGCATCGGATGTGTCGATCAGGATTTCGTCGATACGCAGGGTCAGATATCGGAAAAGTCTTTCTGTAGGCGGTGACTGAAGCTGCCTCGGTCGGTAGGTTCGATGGTATAAAAATGCAACAAGCGATAGTGGAGAGAAAGAGAGAGATTTGCCGATGCTAAAGATAGAAAGGCTACGACGGGAAAGCCAGGAGGGGTAAGGGGTAGGTAGGCAAGCATAGGTAAGTATATGCGCGCTCAGCCTTGGGGGCTGCGTCTTAATACGTCTATATAAGCGGCTGAACAGGGCCAATATGTGACCTACTATTCTAGTATATCCCTCGAGGCTTTCTTGCCTTTCGCACCAGCCGGTGCACTAGGGCTCTTGTCTAGCATGGGCCTACATAGTTATCGGATGACAACTATTATATCATTAGTACGAGGTAAGCCAAGCCTTCTATTAACTCAAGAGGCAGATCTTAAAACCGGCTATAAATTATACATGTGCACCTGTTTCAATTAGTATGAGATCGCAGATATCACGGTTCAGTGATACATGCTATTATCGCGCAAGAAAGATCAAAATACAATGAGGACGCGTGAGCAGAGGACAGCGCCAAGGTATGTTCGGCGCTGGTACCCTCAATCGCTTTCACCGGATTACCTTGAGTACCCTGAGTCTTCTCCTTCTAGGTGAGTATTGAGAACAGTACAAGTCTGGCCCAGTCATGTCATCTCGGACTAAGGGGATCTGGACCCTTCAGAGACCGAGAGGGTCGCAGCAAAGAGTTGTTCAATCTGCAGAAGCTTGGTGTCGATCGATCAAGGCAGAGTATGTTGCTGTGAGATCAGTGAGGGGTAAGGGCAAGGCAGAGAGGGCAAGGCAGAGAGGTAAGGCAGACAGGCAAAGACACATCGAGGTAGCACCCCGGGTAAAAAAAGGAAACACTCCCAACCTTGTAAGCAGTCCCATCTTTATAAATCCTAAGCCTGTTTGAAACAGTGGCCTTGTGGTCTTGGTATAGTAAGTATTCAAAGACGAGGGTCACCCCAGAGTATATAAGCAAAGAGTTTCAAGCCTGAACCCGACCCGGCCTTACCTACCACCCCTAGGGTCTAGGTACTCCATACTGCAGCAATAATGTGCCCACCACCCGCTGCCGGGCCGCCCTTTGCATCAGAGCACCAGCTGAACTGGGACCTGGACAACAACGGGCCTCTCACCCAATGTTTGCCCGGCTACCCTTGTATCCTGCTCCAGGATCGACGCAAGCTGTGGGAGTTCCTCGACCAGGAATTCTGTTCGAAGGACCTAAACCAGATGGCGAGCAGGCTGTGGTGGATGTCAAAACAAGACAGCGCCAACATCTCCCTGCTCCACCGGCAACTGGTTAAACAGCGCGCTGTCATTGTCACCGAGGATCCCAAGCTGCATCTAGTCTGGATCCACAACCAAATCTTCATCAAGCCACTGCCCCGGTACATCGTCTCGTATGCATTCTGGCGGGACTACATGGGTGATGATGGCAAAGATGCCCACGATATCCACAGGGCAGCCTTGGGCTATCTCCGTACATGGCTGTACCTGGTGAGGTACGAGTCCGACTTTCGCATCGCCTAAGACCCTAGCCTGCACCTCATCCCGCCCGACATCACATGGGACCAGTTCTGCCGTTTCGCATCCGACCTGACCACGATTGCCGATTACAACGTCCCTACACGCTATATTTATGGCAAGATTCGATTAACGAGGCTTAACTTCTACGCTCCATTCCTACTTCAAAAGGCGTACTTCCAGCGTATTGAATATCAATACGGGACATACTTTGCGCGGTTTTATAGGCCGGTTTTATTTGTTGTTGGCGCGGTGTCTCTTATCCTAAGTGGACTACAGGTTGTCGTTGCTGTCGATCAAGGTCATCCCGACAAAGAAAATAACCAGTTGCTTTCAACTGTGGCTTTTTGGGCTAGCATAACCATGATTTTATGCAGCTGTGGTATGCTTCTGTATCTATGCACTCTCTTAGTATATAAAGTGGGAAAGGAGTGGAAGTTTGCGATTTGAGACCGGCTTCAGTTGCTAGAGGAGGGACGGGCCAAGCGTTTAAGATAGTTGAAACATATTGATGCGACCACACGGGGCCATGGTGTATTGACGAAGTTGTCAAATACAGCGCTGATTTCAGGGCAGATAGGCATGATTGGGCGGGCAGTGCTAAAGCTAGCTACCCGCCCCAGTGGATCGTCTGGGGAAGCGGGGCTAGTACAGACAAACCCGAGAGCCCCCAAGACTGTTGGCACTCAACAGATGATTGATTGGTGCTGACCTGTAGAATGTGGCTGTAGTGCTGTCCTGTGTGGCAGAGACGCACAGGGCATTTGACCCACCCAGAAGATAGATGATCAATTTCTGCATGCTCAAGGGGTGAAGCAGAAGAACAACAACAGAACACACTTGACAACCTGACTAATCTGAACTCGTTTGCATCTGACAGAAGCAGCTGTCCAGCGGCTCGCTGATGCTTCCGCTGATCGAGGTCAATAGGCCGTCCTGGCGTATTAGCTTTGCCGTCCTGGACGCGGACCGGCTCCTGGTCTCGGACCATGCGATGGGCTCAACGGACCAGATGTCCGACTGCTACGTCCTGTTGCAGTCGTTGCGGCGGCTGGCCAGATGGGCGGATTCTAAATGTGTTGCTTGGTGGACGGGGCTTGCGGCTTTACCATACCGGCTTTTCCGCAGCGGTTATTCGTCCACACAATCGGGTATTTCCAAGAGGTCACAAGGCTATCTGCTCGGGGAGTCGGACACATTCCAGCCTCTCGGCTGCGCAACTCTGAAGGAAGCCAGCGCAGCTCACGTAGCCTCTCTCGGGCGCGCAAATCCCAGACTCATGTTTTCTAAGAGCAAACATCAGGTCTTCCACAATGGCGAATGACGGCCTGGATCCATACATAGACCAAGGCGGATCGTCCTACAGCGGGAATTTCACTGTGCATGGAGGACCCTTCCACCAAGGCAATATCATCAACATCCAGCAGACGGCCGACCGATGCCTCATCGACCTCCGCGTCACCGACCCGCGCCATGACAAGAAGCGCGTTCAGAACACTCAGGGCGGCCTGCTCGCGGACTTGTACGTCTGGGTGCTCGGCAACCCTGACTTCCGCCAATGGCGCGACTACGAGGACCAGCGCCTGCTATGCATCAAGGGCGATCTGGGAAAGGGCAAGACCATGCTCCTCTGCGGCATCATTGATAAGCTGGAGAAATTACCGGCCGAGGGAAGGCGTCTCTCTTACTTCTTCTGCCAAGCCACTATTGAGCATATCAACACCGCGACGGCCGTCCTGCGCGGTCTCATCTTCATGCTTCTCGACCAAGACGCCTCCCTCGTATCGCATATAAAGAAGAAGTACGATGTCGCTAATAAGGGGCTGTTCCAGGGCGATAATACTTGGTATGCCTTATCTGAGATCTTCACGAATATGCTCTGCGACCCAAAGCTGCACGGCATCTGTCTTGTTGTCGACGCACTTGACAAGTGTATAGGTGGCTTACTGCAGCTGCTTAAGTTGATTGTTGAGACCTCGCAAGCAACCTGCGCTAAGTGGCTTGTCTCAAGCCGCAACTGGCCGCAGATTAAAAAAGAGCTGTCTAATGTGGCGCATATGCTATCACTCGAAGTAAATGCAAAGTCTGTCGCAGCGGCTATAGACAGCTATATCTTGCACAAGGTGTCCCAACTTGTACAACGGAAGAGTTACCGAGACAACACCACCGACGAAGTACGCCAGTACTTGTCGTCAAACGCTGACAGCACTTCTCTATGGGTCGCCTTGGTCTGCCAGGAACTTGCAAAGACATGCCAAGGGAATGCTTTATAGAAAGTCAAGTCTTTCCCGTCGGGTCTTGATTCCCTCTATCGACGGATGATATAATAAGTTCGCACATTGGAAGACGCCGAGCTTTGTACGCAGGTGCTTGCTCTTGTAGTAACGACCTATCGCCTACTCTTGCTTGCCAAGTCCACTACATTCATCTAAGAAGATGCCGAATCGCTGAAAGAGATTGTTAGTCTTTGCGGCTCGTTCCTTACTATTCGTGAGGATATAGTCTACTTTATCCACCAGTTGGCGAAGGACTTCTTAATAAAAGAGAAAACGGTCATCCTTTCCCCCGAACAGCAAGTAGCCGTCTATGGCTAAATCTTCTCCAGGTCGATCGAGGCCGTATCACAGACACTGAAACGTGACATATACGGACTGCATGACCGGGGCTTCCCTATTAAGGATGTCCCTCGACGGAGACCTGACCCAGACCCGCTGGCGGCGATAGGATACTCCTGTGTTCACTGGGTCAACCACTTGATTGATGCCAGCAAGGCTCCGGGTAGGGACGACAGCGTACAAGAGTACGGGACGGCAGACAGGTTCCTACGGAAAAAAGGTCTCTACTGGATTGAGTCGTTGAGTCTACTCCGGAGCATGTCGGAAGGGATGCTCGCATTAGAGAGGCTAATACGGCATTTGCAGGTAAGTCAATACTTCTACTACACGGCCTTGCAGAGCTAATAATATAAAGGGGTGGTCAGGGGCGTCTGGACTTCAGGCACTCATAAAAGACGCCTACCGTCTGTTACAAACTTACAGGCCGGCAATCGAGAGCCAGCCGCTTCAAGCGTACACCTCACCATTTGTGTTCAGTCCAACGTAGAGCTTAATGCGAGGTCTATTTGGGCACGAGGCACCTTGATTGGTCGAGTGCAAAATAGAGTAGCAGAACAATGGAGCGCGTGCGAGGCGATCCTCGAAGGCCATACCTCTTCCGTCAACTCGGCAGCCTTCTTGGCCGATGGGCGGCGCGTCGTCTTGGCGTCGTACAACCAGACCGTCCGGCTCTGGGATGCGGCCTCAGGCGCGTGCCTTTCTTCATATGAGGTTGGCTACACCTCCACCGTCTCGTTTGATCCGACCGGCACCCTGATCTACACCTACGCTGGCGACATTTGCATAAAGGAGTCGATTTCCTTGGATATCAATACGCATCCCTAAAAGCCTGCACAATAAAAAGACTACGTTCTTAGTCCCGATCGGGCTTGGATTCTACAGCATTCCAAGGAGGTCCTCTGGCTCCCTCACGAGTACCGGCCAACTAAGTCTGCCGTGTTTATAACAGAGCGAGGCACGAACCTTGTTCTAGGTTGCTCGTCCGGTCGGGTCTATTTCTTTCATTTGTCACGTTTTTAAAACCTTTTTAATCCGTTTAAACTTTTCGTCTTTTTTTACTTTCTTTGTAAAATGAGGGTCTTAGGAGACATGATGAATTTATAACACTTGCACCGTCGTAGTAGAACATTCGAGAATGAGGACCCTCTATGAATTGTTAGTAAAGCATCGCGTGTCTTCTACCGGAACGAATGCGGTCGAACTCTGTAGCAGACTCTCATTGATTGTGTTAGGCCTTCCGATTATGGTGAACAACCAAAGGTATGTTGTCCGGCACGCCTTGCACCGTACCCCTGACCGTAGCAGACATCACGACGCAAAACGTCGCGCACGATGCAGAACATAGCAGGAGAAAGAACTGGGGCAGGCGAGCAAAGCTTTCACAAAAACCCATCTAGTTTGCGTGCAATGGCCTGCTCGTTGGACGCGTGTCAGCACAGCTGGTGGGTCAGCTGATGTCTGGCGTGTGAAATTCAGGGAGGATCACCTCAGTTCTCCAGTGCCTATGTCTCTGCAGAATCATGTTTCGCGACGCAAACATCCTCGAGAATCAATGCCATGGAACTTCCCGGCCAGCTCCTTATCGGGACGAGTGTGGTGGCTCTCTTAGCCGCTTGCCTCTACCAGCTGTTTTGGGGAGCGCGTTCCCTACAGCAGAGACCTGAGCCAGGTAGCGACACACTCAGCCAGCCGCATTTCCGCGAATTAACGCTACGTGTGGACGAGGTCCCTACGGGAACAACTGCTGCGGAGCTGGAACGTGAGCTGCAGTCAGTCGTTGCTGCACGTCCGGATTTACAAGGTCAGCTTGACGGCTTGGTCGTGCGCTCCCTTGCACCGAGAGACTGCACCTGCACCTGCGCGACTGCGACGGCCAAAACGCGGCTTTCAGAGGACCAGCTGCTGGCTCGCCTCCAGCATGCTCGTAAAGCGTCCTCGTACCGCTTCGACTGCACGTTCTATGGCATCACGCCGCTCTATAAAGACCCAGCCGGTGCCTATTGCGAGTATGCACCTCGCTTCCCACCCAGCGTCGTCCTCCTAGCTGATTGTCCTTACGTTTGCAGTGTAATTGCCGTGCCGGGCCTGGCGAGCCATGCGATTGGCTCGTGAAAATTGCCAGGCAGGAACGATCTCTGGCTACGCGATTAGCTCTCGGGCAACATCCCGAATATCCGTGTGCTCCTGTACGGATACGATACGACATTGCTAAAAAGCAACGCCAAGTCCTCTATAGAAGACTTGGGCCAGCGGTTTCTTGAAGCCTAACGGCGTTCCGGACGAGCGACGAGGTGGGTTCGTTGTCCGTCAACACGGGGCTGGCTAACAACGCCGCAGACCGAGCGTTGTCCGATTATCCTACTAGGCCACAGTCTGGGCGGCCTTCTTATTAAAGAGGCAGGTTTGCCAGGTCCCTTACGCCTGTTAATGCTGACCTGTCGCAGGCACTCATCCACGCTTCTAGGAGCCCCGATAGCAGCCTGTTGCACCGGCTCCTCTCGCGAACCTGCTGCGGCCTGCTATTATTTGGGGTGCCGCAACTAGGTCTGCGAAACAAAAAGCTCGCCCCCGTGGTAGAAGGGCGGCCAAATCAGGCTCTTATTCGCGCTCTGGTCGTGGATGATGAGTTAGAACTGTCCGACTTCCTGGCCCGCATGGCGGACAACTTTGCGCGGTGTTTCCAAGACCGGCTGCGCGTAGTTGCCTTCTACGAGCGCCAGCTGAGCGCGACTGTTGCAGTACGTCACGCCCAGTCATCCTAACTTTGTGCTGGTTTATTCCTGCTTATTATGTGTCTAGAGGCAACCCGACGGTACGCTACGGAAGTCGGGCCCGCCCGTTCTGATGGTCACAAGGAAGTCGGCGACCAGCACCGGCCTGACCGCGGTACCCAAGGAAGACATCGTGCTGTTGGATGCCGACCACTCGGGTCTCGGCAAATTTGTGTCCTGTCGCGACGATGCGTATGTTGTGGTGAAAGAGCGGATCAAGAGTCTGGTGTCGGGCGCGGCGTCTTGGACCGTGGACCGTAGGTGATCTAGGCACTCCCGCTAAGACACGTCAGTACTGTGCTGACCTACATTGAGCTCCCGCAGCACCAATATCTAAGCAGAGAGCTCTGCTGCGCGCTATCCAGCTTGGCTCAACATTTAGTGGCAATTACACAATCTACGGAGGAAATGTCTCGCAAGGCAACGTGATAAATCTATAAACCATGTCGTGGCCCTGCCAGACCGGTGCAGCGTGGATTGTAGGGCGATGGCCCGCCTTCACAACCAGACGTGGCGCGTTCATGGCGGTTCATCGCCGCGGACCTCTATTACCTACCTTTTCCTAGAACTGGTCTGTGTGCGATATCTATACCGTATATAGTCTGCTTCCTTTACTATTCATATATAGAGAATCTGTGTGTATTGTGGCGTATTCTATACCTAAATAAACAGGCAGCAGGAGACTAGAGACATCTTCGAGGTTAAGGCAGTTATATCTTATCGTGAGGGGGATGATAGACATCTTGCCTATATAATAACACAATTAACAACGTGCCTGGTTATAGATCTGTGATACTGTGCATCTATCCGCCTGCGGCAGAAATACTGGCTGGCAAGTGACCATGGCTCCCTAGCTCGGCATCACGGGACCTGATCCTACCGCACAGACCCAAATTTCTCTGGCCCGCAAGCGCAGGGGCTCCCAGGGTGTTGGGACACCACTCCAGTCATGTTTAGCCCGAGCTGACGCTAGGTTCACACACTAATGCATGCATGCAACGGCACTGCCATGTGTTGTGCCGCATGGAATCTGGGTACGCCTGTAGCGGAATAAAGCCGAAGCCGGCTTGGCATGCATCGGATAGCCCGAGATGGAGGTACCGCCTTTTCTAAGATCCTCGGGACAAGTGGACCTTCCTAGCTAGTGCATCTGGTGGACATCCGGCACCGACATGAGTCTCTGGCGCCGGCCCTGCTTGGGGCCTCGGGATGTACAGGCCATTGTCTTACTCATGACCTGGGAGTGCTTCGAGACCTCCAGACTATAACGACAGCAATGACGCCAAGCCAGACACTGGTAACAGCGTTGTGAGTTGTTCGGCTTCGCGGGCACACCTGGACACCACTCGTGTCCTCATGCCCTGCTTTAGATACTACCTCCAATACCAGCTCCAAACAGCCAGACACAACCTGCACTAGTACAAGGCCGAAGCAAGTGTTGTCACGCATTGGGCAAGTACGTCTTGTCTGTCATGTACATATTCTCATCATTTTTCCTCATCTGTCATCATTGCTCAAACACAACAGTCTATGCCCCAAGAAGCATATCAAAAGCGCCATGGTAAGCAAAGACTGTCGGTCGGCCTGGGAGGCACATCCTTGTCACGGGAAGCTTGTATCTAGTTAGTGAGGCGATTCGCATTCTGTAATAACAGTTGTCTCTCGGGCCTGGCTTGTTAACCGTAGTAGGTCTTCGTGATGGTCTCACACCTAGTCAGCCACGGAGGATGAACACAGCGCCGTGGGGAGGTTAGATCTCGTTGACCTGGATCAGAGCCTGTGTGAGATGCACCATACATGGTAGCCATACATGGAATGCATCATACGTGCCCATGTACCTATGTGATATGAGCCTGTGTAAGATGCACCATAACGTTACATGGTAACCATATGCACCATACATGGTAGCCATACGCACGATACATGGTAACCATACATGGAATGCACCATGCGTGGTAGTTATCAGGAGAAGCTTACACAGTACTAAAAACGTATATTGATGTTGTCTGGTTGAGTAAGTCTAGTCTGCCATGCCAATTCTGATATACTGCCATCCGCTAAACCCCATTCGGATAGTCTTCCCGATTACAGCGCTAACCCACTGTAATTACAGCGCTCAGTCCACTGTAATCACAACGGTCGCGCAGAGCCTCAACACCACACCGCATCACCAGATTCACCACCATCACCACCACCATCACTACTCACCACGGCGCGCACAAGAACACATTCCCAGATAGGGGGCTCGCACCTCCCCCCAAACCCCCGGCTAACCCTAACCGCTAACCTAGCCCTAACCCGTCGCTGCGATGAAAGACCGCTGCGAGGTTCTATCTTGAACAGCAAAACCGTGAGAGGTACTTCTAGTTGGGTGAGAAACGCATGCAAATAGAAGTAATTTCGATGCTGGGAGAGATGCTGGGGATGGGGGACGACATGGAGAGTGCCAGAAGTGGCATGGCAGACTAGACTTACTCTCTGTCTGGTTTTGTCTTGTCTCGGTACATATACCCCACTACCAGTACCTAGCCAATGACATTGAAATCACGCCAGCCAGAGAATAGGTATGGACCAGCTAGAGAGGCGAGCCAATCAAACACGGCCAGTGAACGCAGATCAGCCAGCCCAGCCATCCATCCATCATTTGAACCTTGCTCGATTGGGTGCAAGATTGTATCACCAACACAAGAGGCTTTGCCATCATCACCCCAGGGCCTTGAATTGTTGACTCGTCACATATGGCTTCGAGAGACTAGTCCAAACAGAATATCGGATTGTTGGGGCCTCTCAACTGCTCTCGCCCGAGATTGCCTTCTGGGCAGGATGGGCAACATGGATGGAGAGGCTTTTGGTGAGGAGCGATGCAAAGATATTTGGGTACGATGATCTTGCGTAAGAGCTGCATCCAAGCACAAACCTTTCTGTTTGAAGATTGTGGAATGAGTGAGTTTCTTTTTTCATTTTACTACATTCATCACGTTTTGGTCAGCTCACGAGGGTTTTCCCGACATGCTTGTACCGGATGCCAGTATCGCCGAGCTGGCGCGCCACATCGGCATCACACTGTGCGGTTTCATGATGAAGTCTACGGATGTGATAAACGTCGCTGCGGGCGTGCTGCTCTCGGGATAGACTTATGATACGGTTCCTCAGTTGCCTAGCTAAGGCCCGTGATGAAGCCACGGAGGCTATAGTGCGTTCGGGATGGCGTGCTGCCGGTATTTGGCCTGTAAACCGACGGAAAACCCTCGCGAACGAGCATGTGGTGAAGGCAGGGGAGATCCAAGCAGCAGCAGCGGCTATAATGAACCCCGAGACCACCCCCGAAGCACTGGAAGCCCCTAAATCAGGGCAGGACATAGCCCTGATGCTATCATCAGTTGCTGAGACCCCTGAGCAGCGAGCAGGAGTCCGCGCGGTTGCGAGAGCGTACGATGAGATGGTGGTTGAGTTAGCGCTTGTAAAGGAGCTGCTGGAGGCAAAAGACGACGAAATCGAGCATTTACAGCCTAAAAAGCGCCGTAAGGCACCCCAGGAAGAGCCTGAACAACGGCTATGGCGAATCAGGGACGTTATTGCTGAGCAAATCGAGCATACGGAGGCCGCACGAACTGCTATAGAGGCACGGGCAGAGACACGACGAGTTCTGCGTGAAGAGCAGAACTTAGATACTGACGAATCAGAGAGATCTCTCTCTGAGGACTCTGCGGAGTCATATTCAGAAGATTTGGAGGAATTCGAGCCTCATGACGATGAAGGGGTTGCTGTTGATGAAGGGGATAATAGCGAGGATGAAGAGGATGAGGAGCCCATTGTGGCCCGATCTTCACGCCGCTCAATCCGCCAGCCCGCACGCTACCGGGAGAACAGTTAGTATTGCTGAAAACTCCAAGAAAAGGCGATTCTTTTCTGTAATTACATTATATATAACCTCAATCCCGATGGAGTTATGGGTGGGTGCAAGTGTGGCCTTTTGGTGTGAGAGGTGTCCCACAAGAGGATCTACGTTCTCTATGTAAATTTGCCAGATAAATTCGATCTGCGACGGCAATGGATGCAGCTTCGCCAGGTCAACATCAGACGAGCTGTACCCCATTATGAAGCTATGGTGGTCAAAATGCTGCTCCGGGGCCGGGTCATAATTTGTCACGGGTGTGTCGCCGTCGTCGGAATAATCCGAGTCGTCATCAGTGAGCTTTTGCGTCTCAGCTCGAAGCTCGTTGATCTGTTGGGAGTCAGCAGCTGCCATGTCATGGCTGACACCAGAGCACCAATGGGTGTATACATACCTGGTCATTTACCTTGGACCAGAACGCGTTGCTCACGTATCGCGTTTTTCCCTTTTCGTTCAACACCAACCGTCCAAAGTCTTTGTGCACGTTACCTGGCGTTCTCTTCACCGGGCCGCAGTTTGAGTCCCCCGTGTTTGTGCGAGAAGGTTTCGCCTGATCGGCAGGCGGGTACCCGGCGGGTATGTTCTCATTCCATATATTCGTGTTCTGTTTCCTCCGTTCCTTGTCTTGTACTACGTCTATAATTGTTTTGGGCGAGTCCCCACCGCTGCTTCCAGGGTGTCTCGTGGTCTCGAACTCGATCTGGCCACTCAAGTCCTCGACTATGCCTTCCAGCTTCCGCAGGCGCTTCATCAACTCGATCTCGCGTTCGCTCGTCTGCTTCGGCGGGGCATTCGGGTCTTTGGGACGCGGGCGTCGGGGCGCCCTGCCAGGAGCGGGAAAGACGCATTGTATCAGAGCCTTGCGACAGTTGCCACATGGCATGTGTTTGTCACAGCGAACCTTGCGCTTGCGACATGTCACGCAGCTTCGCGGGTTGAGGGTCGAAGACGGTGTCATGGAGGGGTCGAGGGTGATGGGCCCAGCCGATGCGAAGAGCTGGGGCGCGCCGGCGGTTGGAGTTGGAGTTCCCGGAGTACGCGAAGATCCCATGGGCAGATTGTCGCGTGACGTCGACATGATTGGGGAAGTATCCGACTCTCCGTTCGGAGACTGGGTGACGGTCGTCGATCCCATCGAGGTTGTGGTGTGGTGTCGTGTGATGTCGTGTGGTGTCTTGGGCAGACGAGCAGACGAGCAGACGAGCTGACAGAGTGGGGGGATAGGTACCCGAGTCCGAGGATAGCTCCGGCCCACGGGCGGAGTTCATTCGCGCCCTGCGTGTCACCCGATGATGGATCACAGCAAGCCGCCCTCTCTGTCGTCAATCGTCAAATATCGTCTTGATGATCGTCCACACATTTGGATTTTTACTCCGGAAGCTGGGGCTTACACAGCATGGTAGATATTATGTAGCGGAGGTGGCGGAGGTGAAACCCGAGGCGACCTGCTTACGGAAGTTACGGATGACTTGAGACAACCCAGTGGCAAAATACAACACATAGGGCTGAACCAAGCATGGCCAAGACTGGCAGGAACCCGATGATGACAGACGGCCTAGTCTAAGCTCTAACGGGCTTGGCTCACTTATTGTTACCTATCTTAGCCTGGAAATGCTGAATCGTCCAAACAGCCCGGTGACTCGTGAGTCGGTGACACGGACCCCGCTACCACCACCGATACAACCTCATGACTGTCGGTCGCTCCAGTCGCGGTGCAGACCACGACCCGCGTCGTGTTGGGCAAGGCAGAAGTCGTCGCCGGCGCTTCTGATCAGGGATGCAGTTAGAATGCTGAAAACCAGCACGACCAGGCAGGATGTCAAACAACCTCCTCCTTCCCGTCCGATATGTCCAGCTTCCTTGGGAGTGATGTGTACCTGTAAGCAGTCATTCCATTAGCACTGATTGGCTTGGCTAGACGCCGTTCCGCGTACTTTGAAGTGATATCTAAGGGCTGAGGGGCACAAATGCCAACCATTACAGGCCAAGATTGGGTCGCTGGAGATGCCAGTCTCAACATGACTACCTACCCATCCCGCTACGCAAAACGCTCCGACGCCTAGCTACGGTCCACGGTTATGATAACAGACAACGACGTGTTTCGACCCCGAAGAGTCAAGGAAGGTTCTGGTCGACTTAGGTAGCTACCTAGGGATAGAAAAAGAAACCATATCTCTTTCACACAACCTCTCGTTGGGCGTACGTTACGCGTACGTTGAATGGCTCATTTGCTGTGAACGAACTGCCGACCTGACTACTCCGAAGGGAAAATGGGCGGAAGATTCCACTTTTCCTCCTGCAAATTGACCGCGACACCCGACGCCGTCTGCGCTCCGCTCGCAACAGCGTTCGACCATACCTTGAACATATTGACGGTATCGCCAGCCGCGAACACGCCTTTCACGCTCGTGCGGTTGAAAGGTCCAAAAACCTCGTATTCGCCGCCGCTCTGCGATAGCTTGAGGCCCAGCTGTTCGGCAAAAGGACCGCGAACCCTCGCCATCGGGCTGTGGCCGATGAACGCCTCCGTGGCCGTGCTGCCATCCTCGAACGTGATTTCGACCGCGGTGCCGCCGGGTGACTTGAGTGCCAGCTTGGCGATCTTGCGAGTGTCGGTCTTCCATGGCTTGCCCTCGAGGGTCGGTGCAAGGGTGGCTGCCAGCTCTTCGTTCCCATGCGTGTAGATGGTAACCGAGTTGGCCAGCTGCGTGGCCAAGTGCGATATGTGGAAGGTGAACTGCGGCATTGCGATCCAGTCGACAGCAAGCACGCCGGCGTGGACTTTCGACGTATCTTCCTGATAGGCCTGCGCGAAGAGGTTGTGGAAGCTGGTCGGGTATGTGGTCAGTAAACCTGGACTGGGCAGTTCCCACTTGTCCCAATGCTGCATCTTGTGATAGGACAAACAGCGACCAGAGAAGAACTTACATCCCCTTGCCCCAGCAGTCCACATAACCCGGAATGTTAGGGAACACGCTGACAACCCCATTAGCCAAGATGACTTTCTTGCCCATGTATTTCGTTCCAGTCTTGTCGGTGGCTTGGAATCCGCCATCGATCTGGGCCAAGCTTGTGATGTCGGCACTACTCAGGATGAAACTTGAGTAGGCCTCCAGTTCACCGCGAGCGTGCTTGAGGTAGTCCGCCGGGGACTGGTAGTCCGAGCAACTATGGCCATGGAGCAAGTAAGATGGCGCAGCGCGACACTCGCTGGTGTCGAATAGAAGAACAGAATGTTTCTGGCGGACCAGAGTCAGGGCCGCAGAAAGACCCGAGGGACCACCGCCAATGATGAACACATCAACCAAAGACATGATTATCGCGTTTGTAGACTTGTGTAAACGTGTGTAAAGGGGTTTGTTGAGTCGTGTTTGCAAAGGAGAGGCTGGAAGCGCGGGGCAGGGGCTCTCTTTGTGCTGTTCATCATTGGGGGAGAGGCGATCAGAAGAACCCAAGTCCAGCGGCCCCCTCCCAGTTCTGCTCCAGCGTCACCTGCCCGGCAGGGCGCACCCCTCGGGTCCCAGGCGGCGGCCTAACTACCTCCCGAGGTAGGACAGACGTGCTGCAAGGCGCCGGGGCTATGCTCAGCCTGCCTGGAGCACGCCTGGCTACGTTGCATTGTGGTACTTGAGCCTACATCACGGATAGTTGTCATATTGTGAGTCGAGGCAGGCTGCGACGCGGCTCGCGTGCCGTCTTCAGTCGCTATGTCGGTCACCGATCGGGGTCAGCACAACCGCGCTTCGCTGTCCACCGGCCAGACGTTGTGTAGCATCGGCAGACAGATACCCACATCATGCGATACCACTGATATATTGACATTCCACAATGCGTTTAAGCTGCCGTCTCTTCGGTGCCCTTGTCTGGCAGCCTAACCGTCATGGAGCCGACCGTCCTCGCTTTCTTGGTTGCCGCCATTGGCGCCGCCTGCTGGATTGCATGGCCGGCCGACAAAGGCCGATTTGCGTTGATGAGAGCGCGGAGAGGCAGCTTGAACCCCGTCTCCAGCGCAGTCGCCCAAGGTTATCGCCAGGTGAGAAACACCATTTCGGCATTTTTTTGGTTGGGTGAAGCCGGTGGTACTGACCTGGAGGCACAGATCACCAAAGTCTCAGGGAAGCCCTTTTTTGTTCGATACTGGCAAAGGGATTACATGGTTTTGCCTTCCAAATATCTCCCCGATGTGCGTCGCGCTGGCAGAGACCATCTGGCGTTCTTTGAAACCATCAGCGATGTTATGTTTCTCTACAACTGGGTCGGTGACTTGTTCAATTCCAGCCGGATGACTTTTTCGATAATCAAAGGGGTGAATCCTCAGCTTCGTGCGTAGAACAATTCCTCTCTGGAGGAAAGGGTGGTTGACACAGCAGCAGCTAAACTCTCCCACGGAATGTTCCAGGAGTCTCTGTTGGCCTTCGAAGAGGAGTTGAGGCTTGACCATGGAGAATCGACCATGATCAACGCGCTCGACGTAATCACGGCTGTCAGCTTGCGGACCATGACTCGCATCATCGCTGGCAAAGATCTGTCGAGTAACAAGGCCTTTCTCGAAGCTACGGCTGCTTATTTCAACGGAAATTTCCTAACCGGTTTCATCATGTTGAGAATGCCCCTTCGAGGAGCTATCCGCGATTTGTTGGCCTGGCCACTCTACAAATACCACCAACATTTCCGGCAGCAGCGGCTCATCGAAATGATCAAGCCGGTCATTGCGAAAAGAATGGAATACCACCAGTCTGGCAACAACGCCAACAACAGAGGAGACCTTGACACAATTCAGTGCACGCTCAATCTACTCGACAGTTTCCCCCTTGACGTTAATGCTAAAGACAGTCCCCTTCACACCCTGGCACACGAGACACTGCAGCTTATCTGGGCTGCAGGCCAATCGCCTGCGATCAGTACCACGGCGGTTCTATTCAAGATGCTGGAAGAGCCTTCCTACATTGCGCCCTTGCGAGAAGAAGCTCGAGCGGCTGTGGAAAAATACGGATGGGAAGACCCAATCCTGAATGAGCTGCCCAAACTGGACAGCTTCATTCGTGAGACACACCGTCTCTATCCAGTTTTCACTCGTAAGTAATCCCTGGCGAATTGTGTAGATTGTGACATTGCCCAGAACGCTGACATCAGCTCAGTCAATGCCACGCGCCTCGTCAAGGGGAAGCCGTTCACCTTCTCAGATGGATTCACTGTTCCGCCAGGAACTCGTATCGCCTTTCCGGCCGAGGAATGCCAGAAGGATTCAGACTTCATCAGTAATCCTCAAGAGTTTGACGGCTTTCGCTTCATCAAACTGGCAGCAACCGATGCTAGACAGGAAGATGGAGTGAGCCGCTGGGCGGCGTCCCATGCAAGCTTTAGCAATCTGACGTAAGTTTCCTACCACGCGTGTGGATAAAACTCGCGAGCTAACTTGGTCTATTGGCAGATTTGGCTATGGGAATCACGCATGCCCTGGACGTTTCATCGCCATTCGCTTGTTGAAAGTCTTGTTGACCCGACTGCTACTTGAATATGAGTTCTCTTGGGATGTCATTGGCGAACCGCCGCCTAGATTCGTGCTAGAAGGAATTTCCTTTCCTAATGTCGGTCAAAGGATCACTGTCCGAAGACCAACAAAGTCTTCATAGATGGGCAGAGAAATTACATCCATTTACTTGTTGATAAGAGTCACATGCCCGGAAGACTTTCACGGGATCCAATTGCCGTAACTCTAGTGTATCAAATTTGGAATTGCTTCTTACAGCCGTTACGCCATGCGTATGTGATGTGTCTTGAGTCTCATAATCGCGCTGAATCAATGGTTCCCCCATGCCTAGCGGTGGTTCTTTTGCACTGTCGTAAAAAGGCCGTGGCTTAGACAGTCAGATATCCCAAAGGGGCTTCAATGTACTGTAGGCTAAAGGTTTCGTTGCTGCCATCAAGAATAGTAAACCCAATTGCATTCAAAACGCTCAACATGACGTATATCTACATGAATCATTGAATGTCTCGTTCATAACGATACCGTAACACCTAATATACACAGTCCAACATCATGATATGGAAATACATAGAGACCCCATCACACTTCTTGGAAGTAACTCTCAGGTAACTGGACATCGACCCCCACCCCCTATACCCAACTTGCGCCCTGAGACATGCTTCACAGGTACCTGTCATTCTGGGTGGGAAACTCATGCGGGGCGACGTACTGGCCTTCCGTGTCGTGTGTAAACGTCGCATCTCGATCGTCCAAGCTCTTGGACATGAGCGTAGATTCACCTTTGGACTGATCCCGTAGCTCATATGCGCTCTTCTTGTATTCTCTGTTGGTTCGCGAGAGGCTGAAGGAACTAGCACCTCTGCTCCGCGACAGTAGGCTGCGAAGTGAGCTTCCCGCCACTTTCGATAACTCAATCCAGAGGGCAGGCAATGCAGGCAGACAAGCTGTTATGACACCGAATATAGGCTCCAGAACGCTGGCATCACGTCAGCCAGTGTACAAAGACCGGATTTCTGTTGAGCGTTGAAGCTGTAGCTTACGTGAAGATAAGGGGGGCCATCTGCGTCCGTGCCGGGTCATTTGCAGCTGCAGAAGCCCGGTAGCTTCCGTCTGCACGGTAGTACAAGGTGACGATGCTGAATACGATCGCACTGAAGTTTTATTAGTGATAAGGTTTCAGACATTCTGCTCCTCGACTCACATGACACCCATGCCCATCACTGCGATGATACCGACCTTCTTTCTCGGCGCTAGTTGCAGCGACAACACAGCCGGTATAGCTACAACCAGGACGTATATGTCCAGGGCAGCATTCAGGCAAGCTGTCGCGATGCCCAAGTCCTGTCGGACTTCGGGTTCGCACTGCGCAGGGAGCTGTCCCAAGTCTTGCGCTCGAGGCCCGCAGAGGACACCGGTGGTAATGATTAGCGCAGAGTACGATAGCACATTGAGTGCCAGCCCAATATAGATCGCAGCCCCAGTTTTCGGAGAGGCGCGACGCGGGAAAATACGGCCAAGGAAGAGAAGGATGGAGATTTTGACCAAGAAACTGGCGACAGGGAGTAATATGGTGAGGACAAAGATCAACTGGGTTACGACTAGGTGGTTAGACCGATGCGCAAGCGATGAAAGTACTAGGCAATACTGACCCTGTTGTACGTTGGTGAGATGAACTCTACGAGACGGATGTCCCAAGTATGCGGTCCAAACCAATTCTGGTTCAGTTGGTAAAGCGCCGTACCAGCGAGACCCGCAGTGAAAAGCTATACTCAGTTGTTCAGAGTGGTTCCCAGTGCCTGTGCTCGGATAGAACTTACCGCAGCCAAAACGGCAGTCCAGTCATCGAGCCCAGTTCGCTTGACAATACAGAGCCGCGAGTACATCCGTCCACCCACAGCAATCACCATGACACTCAGGAAGATAGAGAGAGTGGCAATAGCCTGGTATGCTATCGATTCCGGATTGTCGAAGTTGGATTCGATGCCAGGGGGAGGAGCCATAGCCGGAAGCTGGTACAACTGTTCCGGGGTCAAGGCGTTCAAGTCCATGTTGGCAGCTTACGGAGTGATGACCGCGAAGCTCTAGCTGGTCTCAATGGTAAATTGAAAATCTGCCGGGCGATCTCCAATAGGGATAAGCCGGATTTTGAGGTCCGGAGATTGATGGGGAGGGAGTTGGGAGGCTAGATCTGGCAAGAAGAAGGCAGGGACGTAGAACCTCAAGCCGCGACACCATTTCGGGATGACGCTCTACCCGAGATCCTTCAAAGCAGCCGGGCGCCGTGTAACTCTGCTGGCTGTATGTCAGACAGTAGCCTGCTGTTGCGGCAGCTGCTATTGGTGTGTTGCCTGCAAGCGAGGCATTCCATCGGCCACACCCATTCTAACGCTCATGACTTCGGTGACCGGTGAAAATGCAGAAATGTTACATTGACATGGGTCAAATAGGTACCATCAAGAACAGAGTGTCATCCATTGGTTGTTTAGAGCATGGTTCTAACTGAGTCCACTGCAAAGGGGTACAATCTAAGCCACATATGGTGTTGGTCGAGGTGAGACTTCCAACGCACGTCAGACTGGTTTGCGCCCCCATACCGCCTGCAACGGATACACCCCGCCCACTTTCATGAGCTCCTTCTCCAAGCCAGTACCGAGGGTGTCCAACTCCTCACTGGAGAGGTCTGTAGTGCCAGGCGGCAGGCCTAATGTCGCATGTTAACGGTTGTCCACTCCTTCGGACAGGGTGCAATGCAACACACCGGTCAAGGTGTGAACGATCGAAGGATTCAAGGGAAGGGACTGGAGCTGACTGACTCTTTGCGAACTTGGCAAGTCCTTTGGCAGCCGTGCTTGTAGAGAACACCCCCCTCTGAGCGAGAGTAGCATCCGGGTTCTGGGCACCGAGCTTCATTGGAAGAGTGCAGTGCTCGATGTCAACGAAGCCGGCTTCCCCGAGCCACTCCGAGATTCGCTCGGTCGCCTTCAGGTCGGCGCCCATGACTTGGAAGACGGAGTTCATGACGCCGACGAATTTACGCATTTCCGGCCCGCAGCTCTCGGGGAGTTCATTCGTGGCCTCCATGACCTGAATCCACCCACCAGGTCTCACCAGACGCCCGAGTGACTTGAGAGCATTCTCTTGGTTAGCGCCAGCAGCGACTAGTACAAGACGCTGGTGAACAAAATCAAAGCGGCCTTCCCAATCGCCAGGCCAAGGGTTGTTGATATCGTGAACCTGGTAGTTAGTGCCCTTCGGCGGGTCAACTGGGAACTCCGCTGGTTTGATGTCGGTGCCGTAGAATTCGTGTTCGATAGAGGGATACAGCCCAGCAACGTCGCGAATCCATGTTCCTGTCATCACAGTCAGTCGAGCGTCATAGGGTGCCCAGTCTTGTTGGTCACTACCTACCATCAGCAGTGCCAGAATCCAAAATCTTGAGCGGGGATGCAGTGAAGTCGATCGGAGCAAGGATGAGGCGCCCTCCCGTGGTATCCTTGATTACGTCGTGCTGGTTGCCCAGCCTGCTGACCTCTTCCTGGTTGTCGAGGGGATATGCGTGATCATACTGAACAGCAGCCATTTTTCGAAGAATAATGGAGGGCTGAGAGACACTTGGTATGTACAATTGCCGTGGAAGGTGATCTGGAGATGAACGTAAGTCCTGGGTCCAAATGGTAAAATGATTACGAGCAATAGTGTATGATCATGTGGTGCAAAGACACAGATTGGTGAGGATGCGTCTATGGCTCAAACTCATGGGCAGTATTTAATCAAATATGACAGCAGGGACAACGGCTTACTTGGCTACAGGTTTAGACATACAGTACCGGATCTGATACCCAATCGCAGCTTTTCAGAAGGACCACGGTATGAAAGCAGCTACGGAAAGACCGCGGTATGTGAGACATGTATAGATTAAGCCCTTACTAAAAGCGCATCTTAACATAGACGGCCAGTTTAACACGCTATAGCCGGGATAAAATACTAGATTTATAATTAGTAGGTAAAAAGAATATTAAAAAAGATAATAAATTAATAGAAACAGTAAAGTATTAAAATGTTGATAGTATAAAGCATTAAAAAAGGTAATTAATAATAAAGTATTAATAACTATAGCGAAAAACTATTTTACAGTACGAAATGTATTTACAACGTTTAATATGCATGCTTAAGAAGTTTTAAAACTATAATACCGTAAGTTATATATATATTAAATATTAATAAAATAACTTAAATACAAACGTTTAACTAATAAAAAAGATTGCTTTAACTTTTTTTAATAAAATCAATACTTAAAGTATTATTATTAAATAAAAATAAAATGTAAAATTTACTTTATATTTTATAAGTATTAAAAATGTTTATAAAATGATTATATAACGTGTTACAATTATATTAAATAATTTTAATATATATACATAATCTTAATAAAAATAAAATGTATTTCTTTTATTTATAATAGGTATAAATTTTAGCTCGTTAAAAAAACATTATTATTATCCAACGTTTTAAAGAATATAAATTTTTGGATATTCTAAAAATTATAAAAGTATGGTTTATTGTATTTTAACAAAATATATTGTTGGATCCATGCGATTCCAGCCTGCAAACCATCTATACCAGGACCCATATGTATGATTAGATAAGATAAGATAGTGGATTGAGAGGGCACTTGGCCAGACCTTCGAGTCCAGCTAGATTCCTCTCAATCCAACCATCAGCAACATCATGACCTTGACCCCATACTCGAGTATTATGATTGATCGTTCAAGCCTGTTCCAACATATATATTATAACTTAAAATATGCTTAAGATTTCTATTCTAAAGTGCATGTACTCGTGCCACGCACTATTTCCACCTCGCTAGGGCTTACTACATAAATTAGTGCTCCTTAAGGTAACGGATTACCCATAATAAGAGACCATATAGAAAACAAACCTTAATGATTTTATAAATAACTTAGTTTTTAAAGGTTTTTTAATTATTTGAAACTTACAATTATCGTATATATATTATCATAAAGTATTTTTAAAAAGCTACGTATACAACTTTATGCTTAAATATATTATAAAACATAAATGAAATAAAAGTTTAAATTTCTATGTGTATATTAATATTTAACGTAAAATATAACGAAATAATATTAATATGAAACTCTTTTTATTTTATATTAAATATGGTTTAATTTGTAATACAAAAAAAACCTTTCTTTAATAAACGGTGAAAAATCCATTCACATATAAAGTAAATATAATAAAAAACTATAAAACGGTTTTACTTTTATTACTTTTTATAGCAGTAAAAAATCGGCAAATTTAAATTCATAACTAGCATTATTAATATTAAAAAGAAATTGCGTTTTAAAATATATAATCTTATTTTTTAAATTCTAAAACAATTATTTTTAAAAATGTTATTTTTAAAGGATTTGCTTTAAAAAGTTATGTACGCTTATATACTTACGTAAATTTTTTTTTAATATAATATAAATTTCTACAGCTTTAACATGTATTTTTAATATCAAATATTTATAACTCGTTTAGTTATACTTATTTTCATAAATATAGTCCTTTATTATGATTAGTTTTTTATAATAGGGAGCACCATTTTATGTGGTGAGCCCTAGCGAGGTGGAAAGTGGTACGGGGCACGAGTAGTAAAACCATAACTCATCAGACCCTTAGCGATAATCTAGCGTAAAGGCATGAGCACAACTCGGATCAGCTGTTACGTCGGGGGCCGGTGCTTGACCGGTCGCTGACGCGAGAAAATTTCTAAAACCCCCTGGCTACCTGGGTGTTTGTAAAGATCTACATGTCGTTTGCGTGACTGAACACCGTGTGGACAAGATGAATACTTCATCATTCGCGTAGCCTATTCACTTGCTTGCTCATCAACTAACACTCAAAACGACATACGAGATACACCGTGTAGGTAGAACAGCCTGGAACCTTTACTTTCTCATTTGGCTCGTACGGTCTCGTCTAGAGCCCCAACAATCATGACCACGACCTGCCCGCAACCTCCTACACGTGCTCACAGCTTTGACGTAACCGCGATGGTCGCAACCATTCGAATACTATGGACCCCATCCTCATACTTGTAAGAGTCGCCCTTCTGCATCTCCTCGGCGCATATCTCGATAGCTTGGTCCCACTTGTCTTCATCTGCTTGCGTCCAACCTCCTGCGGGGGTGGAGAGGAACGTCCATGCGATGGTAGCCCATCGTTTGAGGTCGGGCATCTGGATCCAGGCAGGCCGCTCGAAGAAAGCCGTATGCTCGTGGCCGGCGTCCCGTAGAATACCCTTGAACTTCTCGGTATCATAATCGACGACAGCGAGAAAGGGAGGCAGTGGCGCATCCGCGCCTCGCGTTCGCCAATGGGCTTCCTTGAGGGCCGCCTGCCATGGCTTTTCCTTCCATATTGCCACGGCAGCCGTACCGCCATGTTTGACTGTACGTAAGATATGCCCCGCAGCACCGACTTCATCATCGAGGCCGAGGAGCACAAAGTCGGTGATGGACAGATCGAAAATGTCGTCGGGAAAAGTGAGCTTGTTTGCGTCCATCGTCTGGACCTCAACAGGCCAAGTGGGGTTCTTAGCCAGTGTTGAACGCAGCTGCGCCAGATAGCTGATGCTCTTGTCGGTCGAGTAGATCTTGAAACCCGGGGGCTCGCCTGACTTGACGAGCTCGCTTGATTTCATGATCTCGCCCGTGACAGCCCCGTAGCCACATCCATTATCATGAATGACAAATCCGGGCTTGATGGGCGGTACCAATGTGATGAGCTCGCGAGCGATAGCCTCACTGACATTGCCCTGAAGCTCTTGGGCCAAAGCGCCATCGAACTGCACTGCTTGCTTTGGGCGGAATGGTGTCGACATCTTGCGAATCTGGAGGGGTCGTGGTGTTGTGCGAGGCTTGCGAGTGCAAAGGATAGATGCTAGCTTGAGGAAAGGCGCCATTGCTGGGAGCTATGGAGATATTGGGTTCCCTCAACCTACCTATGTGACAGGTCTCAGAACGTCGGCTACCGGCGGGGACTGGGAGGGGGCAGCAAGGCAACCGATGCCGAGTGCCTAAGCGATACGTCGTACAAGGCAGTGTCAGCGCAGTGTATTCTGCACGGAGTTTGAACCGCTCGGAGGACTATTTTTCATTGTGCTACGTCTCCTCCAACAGGGATCCACCAATCATACATGTAGAAATGCTATCATGTGCCGTACCATCCTCATGTCGGTCTCATGATGCATCCAACATCTGTGGTTGTGACATGGCATGTCCATAAGTTGGTGCAGCGTCTAATACAGCCTTCACAGCAGGTCGGGCAAGCATCCGATGACCCCAGGCCTCGACGTGCGGCCAGTCCTTGACGTCCACGCCGAAAAATCCAAACATCCACGGCATTGCGAATGGGAAGTATGAAAGATCTGCGATCGTTGGTCTGTCCTTGAGCGCCACATACTCCTGACCTGGCTGTGACAGTCGCCGTTCCATAATGTCCCATTGCCTTATCACGTTGGCGTGAAGCCTGGCCAGTATGTCTGTCAGCGCTGATGAGCTGAGTCACCATGATATCCTTGGTCAACGGACTTATCTATTGTCCTCGGCAATTGAATGGGGTTTTGTCGAGTGGGATAACCACGTAGGAAGTAGAGCCAGTATTTCGCTGTTGCTCTGCCACGACAAAAACAAGCGTCAGCACTCGCTCACTCCGAAAGCGAGCCCTTGTAGGTACGGGGACCTTACCCCAGGCCGGCCGTTTGGTAGGCCGTCCAAGAGAGTACTCTCCCTTTCTCAGATGCCGTTTTCCCACTCCACAGCCCCTCTGTGTCAAACCGGTCGGCCAGATATTGTAGACAGGCGGTGCCTTCGAACACGATGATCTTCTCGCCGGTCTCCGGATCGTGGTCCTTCAGTGCCGGTACCATACGCTCGGGATGTACGCTGTAAAACCACTCATCACGTGTATCGATGCAAGAGAGAACATGCGGAAAATCTAGCTCCGCCGCCAGTATCAACGGTTTGATGTAGTTAATGTAGTTCGTCTGATCGGCTGCGATTTTGGTGGTTTCTCAGTCTTGTACGGCAGTGATATATGCATAGAAACTGATCAGGGCCTGGTATCCTTACCTTTGAGAACATACAAGATTACCCTCCCGCTGTAATCGGGGTCTCCGAAAACGAGCTCTCCGTTCTTGCCCCTATTGTCAGTGTCGTTGCCCAACAGCAAGTCGAGCTCATTCGAGAGAAGCATCACCGTGAAGTTGGGTTTGAAGGTGTTGGTGTTCCTGGGAAGCCTCAAAGTCTGGGCTTACATTCGCCTTCCAACTTTATCCGCACAGGTGTGCGGAGGATCTAAGTAGATTGCTTTAGCAAGCTCAGCTTCTGCTAAGTTACCACTGTACTTTCGGAGTCCGGAAGGACTTGTGCACGCTTGCGTGTGAACTGTATTCATTGACTGGAACTTTTAACTTCTCGGTGGCCGGCTTTGCCTCCCGAGTGGCCCTTGGACGTAACACGTACTATCGACACTTGGTGCATATACAATATAGTTAGGGGTTCACATGATGCCATCTCTTGCCTCATCGGGCCCAACATTGCATAGACTACGACCAATAAGTCTGGTACGTGTAGTGCATCATGTATTTCACTTTTAGACCTCAAGGTAGCCGTTTCGTCTTTGATGGTTCTCAACGAGCTTCCACATTTATTGGTCAACCCAAAGTTGAGGGCCATCGTCAGTGACTCCTCGGGCTGATTTGTGTGGGTCTGTTAGCTTGATAAGCTTCTATCCGTCTGTTACAGAACACTGAAAATCTATTAAAAAGCCGAACAAAATCTGAGGAAGGCGACCTCTATTCTTGCCCCGTTCCCCATTCAACCTAAACCAGAACTTCTAAACTCCCCATCTCGAATCTATGGCCTTCCTCACATATCAACAATGTCCCCCCTTTTGCGTGAGGGGTGAAGATATCTGTACCTTTGTTGTTGCCTCGCAGAATAGTTAACGGGTATTCCGGGGGAAGATCGAGAGACCACTGCCAACATAGCCGCCTCAGGTGCGAGTCCACGGGTTCCATATGATAGAGAACCACCCCACAGTGGTCTTGGAGCTCCACCCCCAACCCCCCTGCCCCTTCTTGATCTTCATTCTTAGTTTAGGTCTCCTGAACTACCTTCTTCTTCTCTCTATGCATAAGGTGCTCTTGCCGCTTATGCGTCCCACCCCCAATATGAAATGCCCTCCAAGTACATTCTACGCTCTCGTGAACTGATCTTGTACGACACCAATGGTACGACTTGTAGGCTGGAATCGTAATCAGATGGGACTTCAACTTCCCTCTATGTCCCCTATCGTTCAACAATCCTAGAATCGCATGGAACGTGACATCGGCTACATCCAAAACACAATGGACGTTGGCCTCCCAGCGTATTTCACGAAAAGGTCCCGGATTATGTCCAACAAACCTCGGAACCTTCGACATTTCATTTTTTAATCATTAGTATGAAAGGCTCAACTTTACCTCGCCCGACTGGTCAAGCCCATCGCCTCTTCCCCACCAGGGAGCATGTACGTAATCGTGGTACCACCACATCGTGGCTACAACCGATCTCACGAGCCAGATAACAAAAGAAGGAGCACTTCCGTCTTCATTACCTCGCCAATCTATCGAAGCCTTGGTAATTTGCTCCATCAGGGTCATGACAGGAACCCACAGGGCTAGGAAGATTGAGGCACCGATTCTTCCTCTCCGATGATGTGGGGGATGATATACTTCGATGCCCCTGAGAAACTCCTGGTAATGTTCAGGATATTTTGTCTCGGAGGCTCCATCGAGAATGAGATTCTATGAAGCGCATTTCGAGTCAGATCAGCCAGCGGTATCGCAGGATCAGAACCCCATGACGGTGAATTGAGAAGCAGAAGCATGGCACACACCATATATCTTTGGCTAGGTCGCGGAGCAGGACTTCTCATGATGACACTGATGAGTGTCCTGGCGACAAGCATTCCGTGCCCATAAGCAGCTCCAACCTGGAGATTTGGTGGTTCGACGTGTCTCGCATCCACATACCGCTCTTCGTAAGCGATTCCACCCCCTTCTGAAGCAATCAGATGACCATATTGCTCTTTCGTGAGCAGGTATGCAGTGCCGAGCAGCTCTTTCTCCTGTGGATACGAGTTCTCCGCAAGTGGGCGGATGGTGGCGAATGACGGCTCTCGATAGGGTATGCCGGCGCTTTCCATGGCCAACGTGAACCCAGGGACGAGTACTACCGCCGTCTTCAAGGGCGTCATACCCCTGTCATTGACGAACTTGGAGTACGAGAGGTTGGATCCGTAGGCAAGATACCATATATTGCCGAGTGGGGGGTCTAATGTCGACAGCACCACCATTTTGGAATGACGCAAGTCGAGATCCAATCCTGATCACTCTATTCTTTTCAAAAGATAACTGTTCCAGTTCCAGAGTGACTTGATATGTGTTGCTCTTCTCACGTTATCGGCATCCGAAGGATTACCCACCATCCGGTCCAGGGCTGTCTCCATTTTGTCTTTGCTTCGGTGGCCGGCCTCAAGCACCCAACAAATGAACGAGATTGGCTGGAGCTGGAGTTGGGAATGTACAAGGCTAAATCAGGTGGCACATGCAGCCTGCTCATGGCAGAACCATATGAACGGTTCTGGTCGTGCGCTGTCCACGGTATGACGCCACTGTTTGCCAGCATTCCACCACAGTCCTACCCAAAGCGATCAATATGGCTTCATTCGTTCGCGAAGTGGTTCTTGAGCAACTTTGTTGTGTTTTGCGAATCACCCCCACGCAGATTAACCATCATGGCAACTTCCCCAGTCACGGCGGAAACTCAATCTCCGCTGTTGCACTGGCAAGCAGATGCAAGAGAGAGGGCATTGACCTCTCCGTTATCAGCATACTCCAGAGTCAATCCATACACGAGCTTGTTAGTTCAGGGACAGTCACCAAAGATTCACGAAACTGTCTACAAGGTACACCAACATCAGTTAGACTTCACTTCCAAGACTCCCAAGATCGTCATGTTCAGGCCCAGGATTCCAGCTGCGGTACCCAAATGTCTCAGTCATCTAGTGATCGTTTCCCGGGTCCAGCCGCGGAGAATGGGGCATCGAATGGGGCATTGGTCTTGTCTAGTGGGCGTCTCAGCTTCGCTGGATCTCCTCCTAGCGAACTACAGCTATCACTGCTACATGGCACCATCAAGAAACCAGGTGTTAATGTCATTCGACATTCAGAAATCTACCGTACAGAGCACATCTCGGCCATCAAAGCTGCATGGCAAAAGCTTTTTGCTATAGAAGCCATCTTACGCACGAGCTTCTCGGCTGATCTCCAGATTCAAAGCAAATCATACATGGACTGGACAGAGACAGCCACAGAGAACGAGACAGATTTCAACGGCTGGGTGAATACTCCGGTAAACACTCTTGTGTTGGGGTCTAAGTGGGAGGTCGTCCATTTGACTTCTAAAGACAAGATGAAACATCCTCCCAGGAGCGCTGTGATATGGACGATCCACCACGCGCTCATCGACGGGTACTCGGCCCAGCTTCTTCTGCAGAAATTACGAGAGACAGCGGCAGGGAAGGCGCCATCAAATGGAACGGAATATATCAGCATTCTCAAAGACTTGGATATGTTGCGGAATACGAAGAAGAATGCTGGAGATGCCTTCTGGACAGCGGTTGGCAGCCTGTACGGGAGATGCGCTCTGGTTTTGCAACTACCGCAGCCTCGGGGACATTGTAACGAGGCCGGAGTCGAAGAGCATCATATACGCACTACTCTCAGTCGACACGCTTTGGAGGCAATTTCGAAGCATTGCGGCGTCACATCGGCTACGATATATTATGCCGCCTGGACGCTGGTCATGACTGTCGTCACTGATTGCGATGACATTGCTTTTGGAACAGCACTACTAGGCCGCAACCTCCCCCTACCTGGAATCGAGGATGCCATCGGACCTTTCTTCAATACGTTACCCTTTGCCATCTCAGCGAGGGGTGATATGACTTTGCGAACACTACTTACGGAGACCTTCCATCGAGTCACTGATATCGAAGAGTATCAGTGGTTCATACCGAACAACGAGCATTTGCGCAACTTCCGATGTGCTCTTATGATGCAGTTTGACCTTTCGATGGCCACACGCAAGGAGGCTATCCATCCAATAGAGCCACCGGTCACGAAGCAGACTAGCGACATCCCGCTTGCCGTCCTCGTAGGACCAGAAACAATCTGCTTCCAGTACAACAAGGCCGAGTTCAATACCACTGATATCGAAGGTCTCGGAGTCATGTTCGACCGAGCATTGCAATCGTTTCTGCGCTTGGAAATGACCGTAACAGCTTGGCAGACGAGTCTCATTACGGCTGAGACACACGAAGTCCTTCGACGTTATGGAAATTGTACTTCCAGCTCGACATCCCCTCTTTCCATTACGGCCGACCTCATCACCCTTTTCGAGAAGGCTGTAGTCGAGAGCCCCGATGGTATCGCACTTGAAGCTGGCGGTACACAGTTGACCTATTCGATGTTGGATGAGCAAGTTGACAACGTCGCCCAAACTCTGCGCACAACCGTCAAGCACCAAGAGATCGTTTGTGTAGATGCAGATCGAACCGTCAACTGGATCATAGCTATACTCGCAGTGCTGAAGGTGGGCGCAATATACTGTCCTCTGGATTCCGAGCTCCCGAATGCTGCGCGCGTAGCAATCTTCAATAAGACGTCTTCGAGGGCATTCCTGTGCAGCAGTCGAACTACACAATTACAGGCTCCGCCTGGCTGTGAACATTCCCTAGTCATTGAGGAATTGCTCGATGGCAATTTAGGTCGGAAGCCAGCCGTGCAGCAATCGGTATTCCGAGACCGCCCAGACCCCTCGGCTACAGCATATTTATGCTTCACGTCCGGATCTAGTGGAACTCCCAAAGGGGTGATATGCTCGCACGAGGGTTTGGTAGCGTTCCAAAGAGACTTGGAGGTCAGGCTCTTCGCGTTGCCAGGCATCAGAATCTCGCAGATAATGTCACCAGCTTTTGACGGGTCGATACACGAGATATTCTCTGCCCTCTGCTATGGAGCAACCTTAGTGTTGCCGTCCGGAGACAACGTGCTTGGTCCTCTGAGCCGGGCGCACTCGGCCATTTTGACACCCTCAATTGCACAGGTCCTGCAGCCTGAAGATTACCCGGATCTCAGACATGTGAGTGGTGACTTATGGCGCTTTCTTGGAGGCGGAAATTCGGCATAGACTGATATTTGGTCTGTAGGTCTACCTAGTCGGAGAGCCCGTAAAACAGTCTGTGAACGATCGATGGGCATCAGCGAAGCTACTGTACAACATGTGAGCTAAGAAATCCTCCGCTTTATCATGTGAAGACATGGCCATTGACGCAGACTAGGTACGGGCCAACGGAGGGAACATGTGGAGCCACCATCAAGCGTCTCTTGCCAACCAAGCCAGTCACTATTGGGCGCCCCAACCCATCAACTCGAGTCTACATTCTCAATTCCAGAGGTGGGCACATGCCGCCTGGTGCAATCGGAGATATCCACGTTGCAGGTGTGCAGGTTGCAAGAGGATATCTAGACTTGCCCGTGATCACAACACAATGCTTTCTGCCGGACCCGTTCTGCTCTTTGGGGAATCAGCATATGTACAAGACAGGAGATCGCGGGTATTGGACGCCCAATGGGGAGATTGTATGCCTAGGGAGGGTCGACAGGCAAATCAAACTTCGCGGATTTCGGCTCGATCTGGATGACCTCGAGATACGCCTCGGCAATGCTATACCCGGTTTGAGGTCAGTCGTCGTTGTTAGACGCCAGGACATCCTTCTGGCGTTTATCCAACCCAGTACGTTGGACCCCGGTGAAGTGCGTGTCATCATAGCAAAGACACTTCCAAGCTACGCTCAACCAAGACATATATTCATGGTTGACCACTTCCCCACGACAAGTGCGGGAAAGTTGGATTACAAGAAGATGGCATCTGACAATTTCAGTGCCCCCCCTGGTTCTAGTCAGTTGCGAACACCCTTGGAGGTCCGAATTGCCGAGCTTTGGCGCCAGGTGCTTCGACTAAACCGGTCCGACCAAATCGGCTCGAAATCCAATTTTTTTGAACTTGGAGGAAACTCGGTCCTACAAATGACACTGTTGGCGCGGCTCTCTTCGATCCAACAAGCGAGGATTCCACTCAAAATCATTATTGAAAGTCAGACCCTTGGGGATCTAGCCGGAAGAGTCGAAGATCTCGTGTCCGAGATGGAATTGCCGAGACCTGCAACGAATGTGACCTTGAACGGAAGAACGACCTCATTCCTCGAACAAGATTGGTGGATGAGATACCAATTCGGCCACCCCAATCACTCTCATCTGACGATCAGTGCCTTCAACGTCAGTTTCGTGACTGCTTTGTCACCAGGCATGGTCGACACATCAGCCATGGGGCAGGCATGGGATATGGCAATGTCACGCTACCCCCTGTTCCGGAGTCGATATGTAAGAGGAGCAAGCTTAAGTGATATGGTCCAGCGGCACTATGCCGAGGGTCATCCGCGCGCCCAGCACGTTCAAGAAATTGACGTGAGGGCAGAGGTGAACAGGCCATTTGACCTGGCCTGCGAGCCACCGGTTCGCATTCTGCTTTCTGCTAGCGCCTTGGTGGTCGTCATGAGTCATATTGTTGGAGATTTGACTACTTTCAAAATTCTTCTGCAAGATGTCAAGAGCTCGTACAAGGGTGACACCATGGCGCCAGTAAAGCGTCTCTACGAAGACAGCTTCGCATGGGAAGAGGACGCTCCACCGGCACATCTAGACTTCTGGTCAGTCTACCTCGATAAAGCCGAGTTCCAAAGACAGTCAGAACCCATGGCAAAGGAACGCAAGGGATTTGGTGGCACGTCGAAGGTTTACCAGCTCTACAACAGGTTAACTGCCCGGATGTTGCGGTTCTCCGCGAAGCAGGAGAACCTGTCCCTTCAGCAGCTCGCCAATGCTGCTGTTGGACTCGTGTTGGAGGCGGACCAAGATGAAACAGACATTGTCATCGGCAACCCTTTCATGAACCGTTCCAATGACCTCGAGATGGAAACCGTGGGTCTGTTCCTGCAACCCTTCCCTGTACGCGTGCGTTATGTCCCACCTATGGACGACAACGATGCCAAGCCATACTTGGATGCCGTTCAACAGAGCGTAAAGGCAGCCCTCATCCACGTGGTCCCCTGGCACAGCCTGCTGGAACATCTCGAAATTACGCCTCGCTACCCCAAGCACCCGTTGTTCGACGTCATGGTCACATTTCACCACTCCGAAACCATGCCTACCCTGGATGTGCCAGGTACCACTCCTTGTTATACCTGGTCTGAGGGATCGAAGTTCTCCCTGATGGCCGAGTTTACGACACTAGAAAGGGGCGTTATCATCCTGAGAGTAGAGTACGATAACCAGCAGTACACGGGTGAAGAAATCGACCATTTCGTGACTGGCGTCAGCAATACCCTGTGGAAACTGCTGTCCAACATATCAAGCACCACGATAAAGGACTCGCTAAGATCTGGTGCGTTAGATCATACGCTGGCTACAGCCAAGGCGGATGTGTTTGGTAAACCAGTCAAGGAGATATCTAAAAGCTGTGCATAGAAAGAACATGGCTAGTATGTCACTGTGGGTGTGGAACGAAGATGTGCTGCTAAGGACAGGTGGGTACGCAGTTGGCAGCTGGTATTCTTCCTTCGGACTCACATGGTGTCACAGTTCGACTACTGGTGACCAGTGACCACAGGGTGACGATGGCTGTTGTATGTGGAGAAGAAAAGAAACTATGAAGCTAGCTAAAAGACATAATGCGGTATATATGGGGGTTGATCCTGTGGTCTGTCTAGTGTCGCCGTGATGTATGGCTCAGAGACAATAAACAATTCTGTAGCTTGTCGCTCTCTCTAATGGAGCTCGCCCCCTGTGTCGTTCCTTGAAGGTAGTTTTTTTTGATGTCTTGATGTCGTCGTGAGGCTTGTCACACAATTGCGAGACAGAATACTAGGCGCGTGCTGTCATGATCACGCCACAGGTTCTGAAGGGCCACACTCCATTCAGGCTTTGAGATCAACCATATGTGTTCAGGCTGGACTGTCTTCTGCTTATACCGCCACTAGATACATTAATTTCCTACATCCGGATGTCACATCTGCCAATCACAACTCTCCTCCGTCTTTGTGAATCCTCTTCTGGACCTGGAGTTCAAGACACAACACCACCGTGCCACTCATAGATTGCGTTCACCTCACGCTTTCGACTGATTCGCGTCAGGTGCCTGTTCTTCTTCCAGTCCAAACTCTGTCTGCAGAGTGGCCTTCAACCTGATGCTCTTCTCGCCGAATACGAGCAAGAATCCCACTAAACTGAACCCCAACGCAGCGTACCAAACACTTTGGAGGCTTTCTGTGTACAACTCGATCGTCTGCTCGCGTACCGCGCCAGTTAGTGAGTCCAGTAAAGGCCCATGAGCTTGCGCGTATGCGTCCCCGCTTGCAATAGCGGCGCGCACCTCGGAGTCTTGCACCATGTCCAGGTGATGGTTAACCTCGTTATTGAAGACAAGGGAGGGCACTGTAAACCCCCAGACGAAGCCAAACGACCGCAAGAATGCGTGGACGCCGGTTGCCGCCGCTACATCACGTTCTGGGAGCGAAGCCTGGATGCCGGGCAGGATAGATAGGATGATGGACCCCAAGCCGAAAGCGCCGAAAAACTGCCAGAACACCCACTTGACCGCCGAAGTTGACGCGTTCATGGACGAGAAGAGGCCCATTGCAAGCGAGAGGAATCCGAAACCTGACCAGTGAAGCGGCTTGTACTTCCCCGTCTTTCCGAGGATCACTCCATTGACGATCGCACTAGGCACGAGAAAAGCGTTGAAAGGAAGCACCTGAACAGAGGATATGAGTTGAGAGGAGCCCCTGAGCGTTTGGAAGTAGTAGGGTAGATAGTACACTGTCCACTCGAGGAGCATGGACGAGATGAAGTTGTTGACAAAGCCGATAAAAGCCGTGCGGTTAGAGAAGAGCCGTGGCGGCATCGTGGGTTCTTTGACTAGACCCGAGGCCTGGTGTGCTGCAAAAAGAAGCCACCCGACGCCTCCAAGGACGATGGGAACGATGACGTGGAAGGAAGACCAAGGGTAGAGCTGACCCCCCATGATGAGGCCCACGAGAATCGAGCATGTTGACGCTATAAAGATGGTGTTGCCCACGAAATCAATGCGAGCGACTGCCTTTGTCCATGTCTCGTGTTTCGGACTTTTGAGTCGAAGGAAGAAGGCAGCGATGATGAATCCCACTCCGCCAATCGGCACACTGATGTAGAAGCACCACCGCCACGTCCCATCTGACGCAAATGCACCACCAATGGTGGGTCCGATGAGGACCGCAAGGCTGCCGGTCGACAAGACCACGCCTAAATACTGTGCTCGCTCCCGCTGCGGAAGAAGGTCGCTAATGATGACCTCCATTAACAGAATCACGCCGCCCGCGCCCAGCCCTTGGACTGTTCTACCTCCTATCAGCATGGCCAAGCTGGTGGCCCCGCCGCTGATGCCGCTTCCCAAGGTGAAAGTGGCTACGGAGACTAGCATAGGATATCGCCTCCCGTAGATGTTCGCAAGTTGACCGCACAAGGGCTGGATGGCGGCAGCGGCGATGGAGAACGAAGCGTTGATCCAAATATAGTTCGAGCCGGCGTCGAGGTCCCGGACGATGAGCGGGATCACTGTGGTGAGAATCGTCGCGTTCAGATTGGCCGTAAAGGCCGACAGGCACAGACTGACGAAGACGAGCCAGAAAGCTGCGGGTTTCCGCATTGGCTTGGGGGTAGGAGCATCGCCATCTCCATCGCCATCGGCAATAGCACCGGCTTGCTTAGCATCAACAGGGACTGCGGCGGCGCCTTCACTCACGCCCGAGTGCTTTTCGACAAGGTTGTCAGTCTTGGAGTTTTGTAGCTCGACAGCCATTCCAAGCTAGTGCCGGTTGGTCTCTGGAGAGCTAGTTGTTGCAATAGTACAGGTCGACAGTTGGCGGCTGCTGATGAGTGTTTGGGCAAGGTCTTCAGGTCAGACTGCGTGCTGAGGTCAAACTACAGCAAGGTAATCGAAAGAGAACATCAGTCCCCGAGTTTTACAGACTGCTGCAGCCTAATGGTCGTGGACTCGTAGAATGCTGCTTGCCGCAAGGGCAAATGGATGCCGATAGTCCTTTCGGCGCCCGTAGTCCCGGCCCGCTGACCGGTGTAGGGGCCGAATGTGCAAGGTTGGCTTGGCGCATCGCATAATATTATGAATGACACGGGCGAGGGGGCGAAGCAATCTAGAAAGTGAGGTACTCTGCACCACTTGGCGTTTCATTGCGTGGTGGGTTGTAGATTTGAGCATTGATTAAAAGCCTACACTATGGGCATGGGATAATCATTCAGGCACTTGATGAACATCCAGTCATCATTCCACTGTGGGTTGGTAAGATTTTCGGCGATAAAAACGGTGACTAAGGCCATACATCTCATGAGCTCTGTGCCCATCCGAGAGTAGGCGTCTTTCTAGCACGAATTCATGACATACATCTCATTCCGCTGAACGGCGTATCATCTTCTCTGGTGGTCGGTAAATGCAAATGGATTTTGATCATTGACATATTGAGATTTTATGGAGGTGCGGATCCATGTCAGAACTGCAGTCAACGGAGCATCTTTTGCAACTCAAAGTGATGCCAAGGTACCATTGTGTACTTAGTAACGTCCTCATGAGTGACGGTATCTTCTATATTCGGTGATTTCTCTGGCCCTCAAACCCCTCGTCTTATGCATTGGATGCGCATCTCTGGATGTGAAATCCACGAATTGGGATTGCTTTCCCATTCCAGACCGTCAGGTATGCCCATCTCGTAATTCTGAACTAGATGCGCAATGAGCGTCCTAATGATTGCGTCGGCGAGGTGTTTCCCGAGGCACTGACGGGGACCGAAACCAAAACGCCAGAAGCTGTACCTCCGCTCCAGGGCCTCCCCTCCGAGAAAGCGCTCAGGCCTGTACACAGTTCCATCGGCACCCCAGACCTTGCTTTGGATGTTCAATTTATGAGTATCAATTATAAAGTCGGTGCCGGCAGGTATCACGTAGCCGTCTATTACGCGTGGGGTTGGGGCTGACTGAGGGACCGAAAAGGCTGCCAGGGGTCTGAGGCGCGAAGACTCAGAGACGCAGGCGGCGAGAAGTGTCGAGTTTTTCAGAATGTACATTTGGTACTCCGTATCATCCTTGCTATGTGCTGCTAGCTCATCCTTTAGTCGGTTTTGGTATTCCTTGTGAGCAGCCAGGAACACCACGTTCCAGGAAATGCCCCCAATGGTGACATCCAAGTTCGCAAAAAGTGACTCATCGAGGGTATGCAAGAGGTTGTCTGAGGTTATCGAGCCTTTGGCGACTTGATCATGGAAATGGACGATCTGCGCAGGTGGGTCAAAAGACCTTGCACGAGCGCAAGCTTTGTCGTTAAATGACTTCCACTCGACCATGAAAGCTCGCAGAAGTCGATTAAGACGTGATGGGATGTACCGTGAGAACCCAAATCGTGTCATGCCGCCACGGATAACATGTCTGAACAATTCCTCGCGGAGAGGAACTAGGCGTTCCAAGTCCTGAATCATATCAGGGCTCAGGTCGCCATAGAGTATCTCGGCAACGACCCAGAACGGGAGCATTTTGAGATCTTCAGCCGGGTCCAGCAAGCCGTTTGCCAAGTTCCCTTGATGTAACAGATTGTCGAAATGCCTCGACACGTGCTTCTGGATCAATGGGATTTGACTGGCAGCACTTTTGCGAAGGAAGGGATGTGCCACCCCTTCGCGCACAACCTTCCATTCTTCGCCGTTGACCAGACCGACGCACCTCCCAAGGAGCTGGCTCATAAGCCAACCTGAGTTGTTATTGAAAGCCTTGGTGTGCCTGTCCGAGTCTCGGAAAACTAGCTGAAGATGTTCTTGGCTGGTAAGAACTCTGAAGACGAAACAGGCAATAGGTCAGCTGGGTGAATTGTGCTTGGATTGAATTCAAGGCAATCCTACGAGACGTTCAGATAGGGAGGACTCACATTTCAGGCCGTAGACCAGACCAAATTCGATATACTGATCCATGACTTTCTCTCCACCTTGCACTATTGCTCGCACCTTCCAGGAATTTCCCCGCGTCCCCTTGACCATTTGGAAACCTATACAAGCAGGTAGGTATTTTTCTGGTCCCATCTTCATTCCGAAACGGATACTTCCAGAGTAGGTATCGCTTGACCTGGGTCAACTGAATGGTTCCGGAAACTGGTAGACTTGTATCTTACATGTATGGTAATCGAGAGAATGGCGTTCGCACGGTTCATAATCGAAGAGCGGCATGACAGGAGAAGAATAGCCAGACTGTAGACAATGAACCAAGGGAGGACGAGATGCAGTTTTTGCAACAGATCGAGTGATGGCGCCATAGTTCTGCTCTACTATGATGAACGGATTACTACCAGTTATGCCGCGGCGAATATAGAAAAATGCGACAACTTGAGTGTAGCTGACCGAGTAGATGAACACCAGCCATTGTGCCACGGGTATATGCCTTAGTTTCGATATCTCGGAATGTGTTACAGGCCCCGACGGCATCCCGGCACCGACGAACTCGGCTGCCGATAATCATTTTGACGTAGTCTATAGGGTGTATGACTTCGTGAATAGCATGCCACCCATGGGTCTACCTGACCACAAGAATGCCTAACTACCTTGCCAAGGGAGAACATGGGAATTGGAAGGACCTTAGTTCACCCACACCACTACTTGTGCAGCTGATATGATAATGTATGGAACGTCGAAGTCACTTGGCTCAAAAGCTCATAGATACTCCTTCTCTGATAACAACGTAACTTGCATGTAAGTCAACCTTATAGAAAAGGACAATAGCTTCGGTTCCCGAAAAAATAGAGAAGAGTACCATTCGGGGATTGCCCTATATCCAGAGTCTGCTAACCAGGGACACGAATTATCTTAATTGCAATGACGAGGTCCTATGCTCACCCGGAATCAAATTGTACTTTCACGAGAACACTGGAAGTGACTTTGCAGTTCTTCGCAAAATAAGCTCGACCTTTGAATCCTACCAAAGTGCCTCGAATGATCGATCTTTCTATAATGGGTGAAGACACTTTGAATTCGAGAGGTTCTCAGAACAGACCGATCCATTCAGACGATGGCACGCCTCAATCTGGGGAACCTTTTTCCGAACACAAGGATATCACTTCTTGTCACTCGGCAGGCCGTGTCCCGGAACTTGCTCTGGTTTTGGAGAACCTCACAGCATCGGTTCAGTCTGCACTGTCCTACATGGAGGGACCACTAAAGGACACAATTGAGTGCAGTCTGCACCACGACGAACGACTTCCCGAGACCAGGTGTTCAGTCGTTGCCACAAAAGCAATCGACACTCTTCATAGAGCGCAACAACTGCTGGAGCCACGCAGTGTGATTCTAGCAGACCATTTCTTAGGTATGATGATCTAACAGCTCAGCTGTTCTGCTGTGAAACTTGTATTTAGCTAATGACTGGGACAGGATACGTGAGCTCCAAATGCTTGAGTGCAGCAGTGGAACAGGGCATTCCGGACCTGCTGGCTAAGGGACCCATGGGCTTGAGCCAGCTGGCAGAAGAGAGTAAATCTCGGTTCGACCGGCTGGGGCAAGTCATGCGCGTGCTTTACAACAATAGCATATTCAGCTACGACGATGTCACGGGCCTGTACCGAAATAACGCAACATCGCGACTGTTGCTATCCAGCCACTGGACGCAATGGTGCAACTGGGTCGAGCTCTATGGGACACAATTCTATGATGCAGCACGCGCCATTCCAGCTGCGACAAAGAGCGAGGTAACAAAATCAGCAGCCCAGATCAGCTTCAACACCGATTTGAATATGTTCTCCTATTTTCAAGAGCAAGGATGGGTTGAGATCCTCCATCGGACGCTTAGTGGCGGCGCACAGGCCCAGGCACCCGGCATCCTGGAGGATTATCCGTGGGCTGATCTGGCCGACGGCGAGAACATGGTTCTTATGGATATTGGTGGCGGAGGCGGAGGCCTTCTGGCCGCACTACTGCGCCGGTTTGAAAACCTGCGTGGCGGGCTCTTTGATCTCCCGCATGTCATCGAGCACACCCGTGCCCTCTTCCATGCCAAGGACGGCGTGTACGCCGACGTTGGCAACAGGGTATCGCCTGCTCACTTGGTCGGCGGGGATTTCTTTCAAGAAGTGCCTAGGTGTGAGATATACACGATGAAATGGTGCCTCCATGACTGGAAAGACGACGACGCTGTGCGGATTCTCACTACCATTCGACGGGCCATTTTGGTACGCCCCAAGAGCCGGCTCATAGTGATGGAGTCGATCCTAGCCGACGGACAATCACAGAGGCTAACGAGGTACGCTGACATTCACATGATGATGGTCACGAATGGTCAAGAGAGAACGGAATCACAGTGGAATCAACTTGCCATGCGGTCCGGTTGGGATGTCAACCACATTTACAACTTACGGGATGCTTGGGTGAAGGCAATCGAAATGAAGCCGGTGTCAATAGAGACAGAGTCATGATCTACGATGAGCTGGAGGGAATTTCTATCTGGTTATGTTATATTCATATTCGCGGACATAATCTTCGCTACCATATAGGAGGTAGAAGGCCCTAGGCATGCCATCCCGGACACTTATACTACTGCCGAATACCCCCTAATGATGTGATAACGAAACGACCACTCGGCGCGTTCTGCCATGCCCACCAACGGTCCGTGCAATCCATCACGCCGCTCTCTAGAGGCCCGAGGGCCACGTTGGGCACGTCTTTTCGGCTGCCGAGTGCTCACTACGCAGGTGACATCAACGCATGTATAACGAGGCTATCTAATCCGCCGAAACTGGCTACTATTCACTTCCAGCTACGGTGGTTAGATCAACACTAACAATAGCCCGCAACGACCACACTTCATAATCAACATGGAAGGAGGCGCAATGTTCGATGTACTCATCATTGGTGGAGGCTTTTCTGGCCTCAGTGTCGCGGCCACGTTGGCGCGCCAGTCACACACAGCCCTGATATTTGATTCTGGCAGCTATCGCAACGCCAGAAGCAATCACATGCACATCATGCCTACCTGGGATCATAAGGATCCCGAGCAGTTTCGCACCACTGCGCGTTCGGAGCTCGAGATGTATGACACCATCCAAATCCGACAAGTTGAGGTCAAGGGCTTGAGAAAGACCGACGAGGGCCTGTTTGAAGCGACCGATGCGACTGGCGAAGTGTGGAGGGGGCGGAAAGTGGTATTGGCCACCGGTGTAGAAGATCAGTATCCTGATATACAAGGATATGACGAATGCTGGGCTAGAGCCATGTAAGCGCGCGAGACATGACAAGCTGGGGAAAGTCTTTTCTGCTGACAAGCTGCAGATATCACTGCCTCTTCTGCCACGGATATGAGCAGCGCGGGGCCGAATCTGCGGGCATCCTAGCCGTGGATTTGATCGCCTCCGCACAGAAGGCGAGACAGATGGCTCGCATGGCTTCATCGCTGGTACGATCGGTGACCATATACACCAACGCTAACAAAGGCCTGGCGGAACAGATCGCCGCTGCTCTTCAAGGATTTGAGCATTATTGTGTGGACGATCGGGCTATATCGAAGCTTTCCTTGACGGCTGGCTCAGACCAATCGGTTAAGATCAGCTTCAAGGATGGTTCGGAGGAGAAGAGGGAGGCCTTTCTGGTTCACAGTCCCATCACAAGAGCAAAGGGTCCCTTCGCGCAGCAGCTGGGGCTAGAGCTCACACCAACGGGCGACTACGCAGTGTTGCCGCCATTCAACGCGACTAGTGTGAATGGTGTGTACGCAGTAGGAGACTGCATGACCATGTTCAAAGTGGCTACGAACGCAGTGGCAAGTGGCTCCATGACAGGGGCTGGGGTGTCGGGAAAGCTGCATGAGGAACAGGAACAGCAAGACTGATGCATCAGTTGCAAATGTGCTATGTTTCATAACCCCGTAACAGTGTAGTTTTCAATCGCCCTATTGTTGTCTTGAAATCGAGAATCCAAATCGGCATGTAGCCAGCCGATTCATCCACTACCTAGGAGCAGTGGCCGCACGGCAGCACTGATGTCGGCGCCCGACGCCGGTGCCCGGAGATGCAGGTAAGATACTTCGGGCACCGAGAAATATTCGCTGTCTGAGGATGCATTCGGACCGCGAGGCCTGCAAATGTGCCAGGCCATGAACTAAAGCACATCTACGAGCATTGAAGATAGTCGCTTTGCATTCTGTGCATGGGTAGGACAAGCAGACAGTCAACTTTCCGATCTTGAACCGACCATGGGCCTTGAAGCCGCCTCTGTCACGGGGCTGACGCTCAGAACGCCGTCAGCCTCCCTTTTCCCGCACGCGGCACTGTACGTTGTGCAAATCATTGCTCTAGCACTCCCTCCGTTCATGGGTCGCAAACACACATTCGCAGGCCTCATCATTGGCCTTGGCGTTTACGCCCACCTCCATCCGCACTTCACTAACGACGTTGGTCTCGCCCAACCTTTTTCAATCGCTTGGTCCTACTACTTGTCGACACTGGCGAAACTGCTCTTCAGCGGTCGTCTGGGCCCTGAAGGCAAGTTCTGGCGTACGGATCGCCCTAAGCAAGAAGCCCTGGCATACAAGGCCTTCAGCTGGCAGAAAATCCGCTGGGCGCTGGCGTTGATATTCAACCAGCGCGGCGTACGCTGGAATCACCAAGTGAAGAACGTGCCCGCAGTCGAAACGAAGACAAAACATCGGTTTCTTGCGCTGCAGTTATGGAATGTGGTCAAATGCCTATTGGTCTCAGATATACTCTTCAACCTGTGCAGTCGCCTCTTCTACACGAACGTAGATAACACGGTCGTCGGCAGTCTGGTGCCTACACTCAGACATCCAGACTGGCGCTGGAGCTTTGCGAAGGCATTCGTTTTCGGCGCCATGCCATACTTCATGCTCAGCATGCAATATTCTGTATTGGCTTTTGTCGCTGTCGCGCTGGGCCTTTCCAAACCCGAGGTGAGGCGAAATCATCCAACCCCAATGCTCACATACGAACCAAAACTGAACAAGCTAGGATTGGCCACCTCCCTTTGGTCCCCTCTCGGATGTGACTACGATCAGATCATTCTGGGGGAAATATTGGCACCAGCAACTCCGCCATGTGAGATTATTGTTTTCTTGCCCTACGTGATCTTACTGACCGTTGGCTTGCGTACAGATGCTGACGGCCTACACCGATGCTTTCACTGATGCTATGGGGATCACCAGAGGGACCAACTGGTCATCCTACACAACGCTGTACCTAGCGTTCATGCTTTCGGGGACGTTTCATGCCCTCTCCCAACGTTTGATGCCATGCCCAATCGAGGTCACCGACCGCGAACGTGTAGTCGGTTTCTTCCAGTTCTTCGTGTGGCAAGCGGCTGCGATAACTTTGGAGGACTTTGTGCAGTGGTGTTGGAGACAGACAGCAGAGGTTCATGGACAAGGTGACAACCATACCTTGGCCCGCATTATAGGGTACGTCTGGGTCACTTGCACAATTTGGGGCAGTCTACCCCTAGCAGGAGATACTTTTTTGCGGATGCGCATGGGCGAGCAGTCTTTCCTCCCCTTCACTTTGGTCGGGCCATTTCTCGGTAGATTAGTACCCATACCGCCATAAACGGCTTATTGATATGGACAAATTATGCGTCTCAGGCAAAGGTTAACGCCGTGTTTTGAGTTAAAAGTGTATTACATTCTTTACTGAACCTCTTCTGTGCCGACCCCCAACATTAGCCGAGGTCGATTAGACGATGCATCGGAACAATCGACTTAGGCGCAGAGTGGTTCGGTGCCCGTTCCAAATTAATGATAGGAGTGTATAAGAGGAAGATGGCCCAGGAAGTAGTTTCCTTCTCACTGAGACAATCCACGACTTCGGCTAGCTACCTTGCCAATTCTACCATACTAGGCACCATTACAACCGAGATGGCAGACACAGTCTTTGACGTCCTTATCATTGGAGGAGGACATGCCGGGCTCTCCGCAGGATTGACGCTGTACAGACACATGTACACAGTCCTTATCATCGACTCCCGAAAACCAAGGAACGCCTGGCCCATGCCAACACATATTGTCTCTGGTTGGGAGGCCTGCCAGGCCGAGGAGTTCCGCAGCGCCGGCCGAGGCGAGCTAGAAGCTACAGGCTTCGTGAGCTTCGCTGAGAGCGAGGCTAGGTCAGTCCAGAGAGTCAACGAGGACTTCGAGATTACGGGCAACCACGGAGAGAGCTGGCGGGGCCGTAAACTACTAATTGCCACGGGCAAGCTCAATGTCTTCCCAGACATACCTGGTTATGCTGATAACTACCCGGAGAAGATGTTCGTAGGCCTTCGGCTACATCCCAAGAAGAACAAGAACCTGTAGCTAATCGCGCTCACCTAGTTTCCATTGCATGTTTACGTTTGGATATGAGCATCGAGGTTCCAGGCATGCGGGTCTGCTGGCGGAGGGTGCATTGAGCAGTCCGTTCCACGCAGCCATGGTAGTCGGTGACACCAAGAGGTTCGCAGAGGAAGTCACCGTCTACACCAATGGAGACAGCGTGTTGAAAGAAGCGTTGGCGAAGGAACTTCGACATCCTGGGGTGAAACTCGATGACCGACGTTTACTCTGCATCGAGAGCACCGAGCGCAGCCTCCGATTGGACCTGGAAGGAGGTTCCTCGGACGAGGTCGCCTTCCTGGTGCACCAGCCTGCAACAATGGTTGATTTGCACCTGGTCGAGCAGATTGGCTTGAAGTTGGACGCCAGAGGCGACATCCAGAATTCCCCGCCCTTCTTTCAAACAGACATCGCGGGAGTCTTTGTGGCCGGGGACTGCGGGACGCCTTTCAAGATCATTCCAATGGCACTTTTCATGGGTGCAAACGCCGGCGCCGGGATTGCGAGGTCGCTCGCTGCCGATGCTCTCCGTAGGGATATCACGGCCCAGGGGTACTGAAACGGCGCCAGGGTCGAAACTCATGGGAATTCCGACCGGGTGAGATAGCTGGACAGTTCGGTATCAATATCGAGGTTTGCGAAGAACGAAACACATACTTCTCTCTTGATTCAAGCATGCGTACGTAATTAGAGACTAGTTGCCTGTGAAGTAGATGCGCGGCCACGGATTACACGAATGGGGTAAAAGCCTCCTTTCCCAATGAGCTCTTCGTAAAGTCGCGGTACTATTGTTGTCAACTCTTCCGACGAGAGAGGGGGCCTGCCTCCCTTCACTATGACACACTATCTGTCAACCACCGGTAGACGGAATACATGGTCGGAATTGGGGGTACAAACCTTTCAGATACTTGAGTAGGGGGATCATCGCATCGGCGGTTGATCTTGCAGTGCGTCTTGCGAGCTCTTCGTTGGCTATCTGAGCGCCGAGAAAGAGCGGGATGCTGTATTCCTCGACATCGACCATGCCTGCTTCCTGCAACCAGGATTTTACCTCATAAGCGTACCTAGTATTGCCCCCCATGGCTTCAAAGACCCAGGTGACGAGCTTCAAGAAGTCTCGCATAGCCGGGCCGTCACCCAGGCCGCAGACTTGGTCTGGTTCAATCAGCTGAATCCAACCCCCGGGTTTAACCAGTTCTGCAAGGTTCTTCACGGCGGCTGCGAAAGGAAAATCTCCGCAAGCGCCAAGGACAAGTCGCTGGTGGACAAGATCGAAGCTTCCTTTCCATTCTACCGGCCACTGCGCAGTGATAGATTGAGTCTTGAAGGATATCGGACTTTCTCCATCCTGTGTTGGAAATCTGACGTCGGTCACATCCGTTCCAACCAACAAGCCGTTCCTGAGCTGTGGGTGCTGTCCAAGTAGATCATGTAGCCAGTATCCTAATCCTCACATTCAGTAAGAACGGTACCATTGGTGGGATTGGCTTACCGTCTCCGGTGCCCGAGTCCAGAACCCGAGTTCCAGGTTTGTCCAAATCTATTGGACATACAACCAGAGCCCCCATCGCGGCCTTGATAGCGTCATGCTGGGCAGTCGTGTCAATATTGCTCTGCATTGTCGGAAGCACGGGGAGATGCAAAATAGCTTCTATGTGCTGGTAGGGACCCAAATAAGAGCAGATTGGAAAGAGTCGCGGGTATTGCATTAATTAAACGTCATGGGTCGCATCAGTCATGGCGTTGCAGGCTGGCACCGACCGTGGCTTCGGCCACCGACTCGGGCAATTTGGCAATCCACCGCACGTGGAGATGAACCGATGGGGATGTCAGCACCGTCCTCAGGACGGTGGATTGGATGACCGGCCCCCAGCTCTTGAATCGGAGCTACGCCTTCGACCTATGACATGCAACGGGCCGTTGGAAGGCCGAAATCGCTCTCTTGGTAATATGTATGCTGACCATGGTACCGAAGGTGCCACGGAATGCGAGGCGTAGTATCTAACTCGAGGTCGGATCAGCACACAGAACGCTGTCTAGAGGGATCAGAGCCGCCTGGCCATATAGTTGAGGTCAAATATCCACCTAAGTGGACTGACTGTGTTTGGCTTCTAACTTATACCTACGTACCTTAGTTTTGTGGCATCGCACACATGGCTGATCGGTTCACAGCACTTAGCATGTCGGATGGCATCAAGATTGCTGCCATCCTAGCGCTCTCAGCCCTTGGGTTGGCCTGGTTTCTTTCCACTCATCAAAATAATGTCTGCGATGCATTCCCGAGGGTGGCTGACAGTCGACTTCGCTCGATCGTTTGGCCTTCATATATTCAAGATCTGGTGTGGAAAGGCTATCGCGATGTTCGTACCGTCCTGACTGCTTTAATGGTCTATGCTGACGGTACTAGATTATCAAGCCAGCCAGCCAGCCGTTCTCAGTACGCTGGTGGGGACGAGACTTTTTGATCTTGCCTCCGAAGTATTTGCCCTCACTCCGCGACGCCGACTGGGCGCACCTCAGCTTCTTCCGGACGATCAGTGATGTAGGTGCTGCCCAAAAGATGCATAAACATGTTTCCCGACCGCTAATTCCTACAAGGCTTTCTATCTTCACACGAGCGTGGGCAATCTTTACGATAGCGACGCGACTGTGCAGGTCGTCAAAAGGGGCCTCAATCCTCGGATGCGTATGCTAATAAGCACATCCATGAAGAGACATCGCAGCTGATAGTATGGTGAAGCACAACTCACCACCATCCTGGAAAAAGAAATCGAGTATGCTATCAGCGTAGAGCTGGGTGGAAGTCACGGTAAGGATACCAAGTGCTCGTCTCATTCGCTCGACTTACCGCCGTGCCAGATAACGGACCGAGAATCCGAAACGCGCAGAACTTCTTTACCTCCATTGTTCATCGGTCTGCATCACGTATTCTCATCGGAGAGGAACTTTGCCGCAACGATAAGTTCATCAAAACCTCTATAGAATTCGTCATGTCGATTTTCTACACTGCCCTCATCATTGTCAAGCTTCCCCTTGGGCCTCTGCGAGAATGGTTAGCGTATCTGCTCGCGTGGTGGCATAGGCAGAAGCTCAAGCAATGTACCCGCATGCTGCTTCCGGTCATCGAAGCCCGTATTGACCGACACCTCGACGAGAGCAATGCGTCAGAGGAGAGTGATGCCATTGAGTGGCATCTGATGCTATCTCCTTCGATTAGCGATGTTGACCCGCAACGTTTGGCTGCAGAGTTGATGCACAATCTGTGGGCTGGTACCTCTGCCCCAGGTGGTCTCACAACGGAGATTTTTTTCCAAATACTGTTGGAGCCTCAATACAAAGAAGATATTGTAAGGGAGGCCAAAGAGGCACTCGGGGGAGACCAGCATTGGACTGAGAAGTCCCTAAGCAAACTGCCACTCCTGGATAGTTTCATTCGAGAGATCAATCGGTTGAATCCAACTGGCTCCAGTAAGACCGTTGCATCCATAACGGCCTTGAGCCTTTGCTGACACTTTTTCTATAGTCACATGTTCCCGTACCGTCCTGGGGAAACCATTCGTCTTCCCGGACGGACTCTCATTGCCCGTGGGCACCCGATTTGGCTTCCCTACTCGGGCAATGCAAAATGACGACGATGCAACATTTGACGGCTTTCGATTTGCGAAGTCTCACACCGGCTCCGAAAAAGATGGAGGAAGGATTGACGCCCCCCAAGGGGCTACAACAATGTCATCATCAAACTTGGCGTAAGTCTTTGAGCAATCGACTTCGACTTGGAAATGTAGCTAACGTCTAAATCTGTGGGCGAAGTTGGGGATACGGCACACATGTCTGCCCAGGTCGCTTCTTCGCCGTTCGCTTGGTCAAAATGGTGGTCCTGACACTCATGCTCAACTACGACATCCAGTGGGACGGTCGTGTGGAGCATCGCCCAGACCCTGTTCAGGTGGAAGGCCAGTACATCCCAAACTTATCGCAAAAAATTAAAATTAACCGAAAGCGTGTCACACGCGTCACCTGACCAGTTTCATCGACATAGTGGCCATAGTCAGGGTGGAACGATGGGTCAATGTAGTTATTGTCTTTCACAGGATGCGAACACGCAAAGAATAGGTTGTGTGTCTCTCATTCTAGAGCAACCTAGGTCTATTTACATTACTCGATGGGGTCCTCTTCCCAATGCAATCCCTCACTGGGACTTCTCTGTAACTTCTAGACGAACATACATCGTGTCACTGCAAGGCACGCCTGGGGCACTTTCTTCGGACGCTTTTTAGTGCATCAGGTCGTAGTAGTCATCAATATGTACTAGAATAACTTGTGACTATCTCGCATTTGGGTGTGAAGCGCCACGCTGTCTCCGGTGGATTATTCCTATACCAGAGATGAGAAGGGTGGAAGCAACAGCTGCAATGCAAGATGCAAAGAAGAAAATTCCACGTCCTGGCCAGAACGTTTGCCAGGTACCGAGAGCGATGGGTGCTAGAAGACTACCGCAGGCCTCCATAACTGCAAGTGACGCAAGTGCCCTGGGCTTGTCTGCAAACTCAAATTCAGCAGCGAAGTAACTCTTGACAAATGACGGGAATGCTAAGCTGAGTGACAAGAGAGCTGAAGTAGTGTAAGCTTGCCATGGTTCCTGCGCAAATGCAAATAGGGCGAGAGAGCCACTCTGCACAAGAAGAGAAAACAGCGCAAGAGCTGCGTCTATCAAGGCCCTTTCGCCTGGTTCCGTAGCGCCCGGCTGATCTGCTATCTGCCGCTTGCGGCATGCACGGGAGAGCCGTGGAACTAGGAAAAGAACAAATAACACATACAGAGAAGCGACGGCATGGACAATCGTCAATAGAAACCCGTTTTCTCGACTCGTAAATGAGAGGTGGATGGAAGTGTGTACCATAATGGCCGAGAAGGTGTACGACTGAGCCAGATTGTAAAAACATAACGCAAGTGCGGTTGACAAACGCCACGGGTCTTGTAAAAGAAACAGAAAAGGGGAGCCAGTGAGTTTCATTAAACGAACAATCCTGGAGAGCAACTCCGTTTCACTGCTGGTGTTGGCTTCAGACTCGACGTGGTGTTGCATGTCGTTTGTCGAGGCTACAGGCACGCGTACAGCCATGAGCAGATATACCAACGCAATGGAAAAGAACCCGAAGGCCATGATGAAACTTTGCCGAAAATCTTCCAGTAGGCTCGCAATGGAGGGACCCAGTGAGATACCAATCATGTAAAGCGCGAGGGACGATCCGATTAGCCTTGAAGCAGCTGACGATGTTTTGGCTCGGATATACACCGCGTTGAGATTAAAGTGCAGGATATTGTCGGAGGCCAGTCCTTCGAAGACTTGGCTGGACATTGCGACTCCAACATTTCCCATGGCCACTAAGAGAGTTAGTGAGTGATCAAGACGTCGATTATAGCATGTGCCTAAGGCTTACTCACCACCAAGTGCCAGAACGAGCACGCTGAAGGACCGCACAGTGATCCAGATAGCCAGGCCAGGTCTGGTATATCTCCTGCAGAGGGCCTCAAAACCCCGGATGGTGAGAAGAGAGCACGCGTTGGCAATAGCTGTAGCGGTCGCAACGGATGCTGCGAATTGCTTCCTCTCGCTTTCGTCACAATGCCGAGCGTCATCACATAACATACTTGCATATGCATAGATCTGAGTCGCTGCGGTTGCTGCCAGGGCTAAACCCGACAGCAGAGATATCGGCAATGTCGATGCCGGAGAATCGTAGAAGCTCTCCATGTTATTTTCCTCACTCTGTAGCCCCAATGAAGGACGATCTGTTGTATTGTGCGAGGCGGCAGCTAGTAGCGCATCTTCTTCGGCTGGATGACGGCGGCGCTCCATTGCAATCTTAGGTTACTGTACTTCTGGTTTGAAACCCACACAAAGGGCAACGATCAAAAATGTTAATGCGTTCGGTGTGAGAGGAAGCGCTCTGACCTAGGATCTGGTGAACAGCTTGGAGTTGCGGACGCCGATTTCTTTCCCGATGAGCGGCCGCCGTGGCAGCGGAACGCCCGCTAGGGCTTCGGTACCCGACTGCTATAGTCACACCGGCGCTGGGATATTATTAAATATATAAATCTTTCCGCATTTACGTGGGGACCACAAGGATTGTCTCTCGTTCGCGGGTACGTACCATCAGTGCTATTTGTTGATCCACGTACACTATAATCCCATTACTCAACGGTGTTTTATGAGAATGCACTAAGCCATGTCCACACCCGCCCCGCCATCTCGTCAGGATGCTTCAGGCGGACACAGCATTAGAAGCATAGAGAAAGTGTCGACCACCATGACATTCATTGAGCCGTGGGATCAAAAGGCCAAGGGCAACCCTTTCTACCGATCTGCAGCAGCTCCCGGCATGGAGACTGTCAATTTCAACTGGGTCGATGACCAAGTAACTGTGTCCAATGCCAGAACGGTTCGGGATGAGTTCACCTTGGACCGCAATGGCTTTGCCTACGTGGAAGATCCCGGGACTCTTGATTCGAATCTCTTAGAGGCTCTTCGTGGCGCTAAAGAGGGGGCGGTCGAGCGTCTATATTACCCGAAAGTCGAATCCCTAATCATGAGCATAACGGGCGCATCGCGCGTGATTGTTTTCGATCACACCTTGCGCAAGCGGGACCCAGGCCGTGACAGTAAGGACAACACGGACGGAAAGGAGCAGCCTGCTACAACGGTATGCGTGCACATATCCTCACACTTCTGATTTACCGTGGCTGATTCCAGGGGCAGGTGCACTGCGACCAGTTGCGTCCCCAACCCCGGCGTCCTGCAATGGCAAGTAGAGGGCATTAACTAAGAATCGACTAGGTCCGGGAAGGGCTCACTCAGGAGACTTCGCCAAAACCTCGCCGCACATGAAGACTACGAGTCTATATTGAAAGGCCGTGTGCAGATGATTAAGTGCGTCCCAAAACCAAGGCGAGAAGAATCCTACCGGGTAAAATGACTGACGGCATCGTCACAGTGTTTGGCGTCCATTGAACGGCCCAGTGGTTGATTGGCCCTTGGCGCAGATGGACTACACGACACTCGATCCCAAGCATGTCCATCCGTGTGACTTGTGGCGCGGAGAGTACGAGGAGCGCGGGCAGACGGTCACCATAGAGCACGACCCTGGACAGCGCTGGTGGTACTTGGGTGGTCATAGTACAGAGGAGGTGACGCTGCTGAAAATATGGGACAGCTGGGGTCATCGTGGCGTTGCCGACGGTAAGTAAGGTACCGAAGCCTGGGCTGCATCAACCAAGAGACTAACATTCAATTTCTTACACCCAGTCTGCGCTCACGCGGCTTTCAAGCACCCTGACACCCCTGCAGATGCTGCTCCGAGAGAGAGTGTGGAAGTTCGCTGCCTGGCGTTGCATGAGCCTGGTAGATGATTTGGATGGAGCCGATCGAGGTTGTGGTTTCCGTCCAATGGTGAATAGGGGTGGGCGCAGTTACATCGTTGGTCCTTCGGTCTGTTGTCGATCTTTGCTCAAGGATACGGAGGAGTGTTCTGCTGGGCCGGCTCCCGAAGCTACCAATCTATTATGTTCGCATGCCTGGCTGACTATTACGCTGTGTCACATCTTGATATGCACAGTGACGCCCTACGGCGATCTTCGGGGACCGAGTGAGCTGCTAAGTGACGTACCTCGTATCCGCATTGATGCCGACTTATATGCAAGGATTGATCTCTCGAGAGTAAGGAAGACGAGAAAGGGCCTCGCTTTGGAAACCAAGTGTAGGTAGTTTATTGTTTGGTGATGACCATTTCCCCTTTTCGCCTTGTGTGGAGAGTGCGGATTCCGACTTTGAGGCAGTTGGTTGCAACATGACCGAAGATCTATCCAGGCTTGCACCCGTAGACCGGAATGAATAATCAAAATTTAGTACCGAACAGGTGTTGTTTGAGCGCCCCATATTTTACATTCAGGGGCTGTTTCCTCGCTTTGCCGAGTATTCGTCTTCCGCGGCTGTGTCATTTTCCTCATTTCCGGCCCAGGGAGACCGGATGGCCCTCAGATTACTCGGCTGCCGAGAGCTGGGATCCACGGCCGAAAGATGTCCACACGGAGCCGGATTGATGCTTATTAAGCCCCCGATTTGTAGAGTCGCCCCAACACGAAAATAGCAATATCGAACATGGGTCCTATGCCGAATGATATCCCAAAAGACTGGCAGTGAGACCGGTCAAGTGCCTTGATATTGCCTGAGCATCAAACGAATTTTGTAGCCTGTGACGGCATTGCTGCAGTGAATGCATTCAGTAGAGATGTCGTATAACTATGTAGTACTAGTGAAGAGCTCGAGTATTATTCCCGCCCATTGTACCCTGATCACAGCCTTGTACAATCGTCAGCTGCAGCACCAATTCTCTGAAGAGCTTCAGTCAGTTGATTGGGATCAATAGCGAAGTTGATCCTTGCCCATCCCTTCTCAGACTCGGGGAGATGGTAGCTCCGTCCTGCTGAAAGAGACAATCCTGCGCTCTTGTAAGCTTGGATAGCATCTGCCTCATCCTCCCAGGTACGCGCATGTGGTGCGATCCTCACGAGGATGAAAGGCCCCATCGTCGCAGGGATGTAAGGTAGACCTCGTTTCTTCAGGGCTGATGTCAAGCGTAAATACGCCCGTGCAAGGCGGTGGGAGTTGAGCGCAAGCAGGTCATCCAGCTTTGGGGATGACAAGAGACTGGCCGCAGCAATAGCCGTGAGCGATGACGTCTGCGTATTGGAGACAAGTGCGAGACCCGTAACTAGGGGCTTGTTGCTTTGACTAACACAGCAGCCCTACTTCCAATCAGTATAAGCTCATACTTAACGGACCCTGGGACGGTACCATTCGTAGGCCGCTGGAGCCGAAGTCCTTGCTGATACTCCAGATCGTGTGGATTCGAGAGAGATCGCAGCCTAAAGACTCGACATCTAACTGTAGCGCTGACACGAACGGCACGGGGTGCGACACATCCGGGTTCTCGAATGAGGATAGGGCGTAAATTTCATCGGATATGAAATGCAAACCCCTTTGGCCGCAGAACTTGACAATCGCTTTGACAATACTCGCTGGATAGCACTGGCCGGACGGGTTGTGAGGGTTCGTGAAGAGAACGCCTTTTATTGGCAGAGCGGACTTTGAAAAGGCACTTTCCAGTGCCTCGATGACCCCCATGGAGAAAACATCGTCGAGGTTCCGCGTGGTAACGAAGACGGGCTGTACGCCGGATCTCACGCTCAGCAACCATTCGAAGCTACCTGAATGGCCAGTAAGCTAAAGCCGCTGACTACCGTCGAAAAGAACAGATATGATCAACTCACCCCAGCAAGGCGTTGGTACTAGCAAGCCATCGCCCACTTCGCATATGTTGTACAGAAGAGAGTCGAGCGCAAATGCTGCGCCTGGAGCAACCGCTAGATGTTCCCTAGAAACAGGTACCAGCGGCTGGAAATAGCGGTTGAAGAATCTCGCCAACGAATCCAAGAGCTTCAAATCGCCCGCGAATCCATCCGGGTAAGACAGATCCTAAATACGCATCAGGATGTAGACTGCCATTATTTTTAGAGGGCATACTCACATGACTGGACAAGCTGCCTTCAATAGCCTGTTTGTACAGGTCAATAAGTTCGTTTCGCAGCAGCCAATTCTCGGAGGTCGAGAGATCGATGCAAGGGTTGCCCGCTTGCCGTTCCCGTTCCTCGGCAGCTTTGCTGATCCGGGGCCACACGGCTTGGACGTTAGCAGCGCCTCGACGGGAAAGACCATAGCCTTCCATGAGTCCAAGAAAGCACTAAAAAAACTGAGTAACCAGAAAGGACGGGCAACCAGACAAGAAAGGGATGGAGAGGCAAGTCTAAATAGTCGTGAGGAAGGACGTAGTCGCGGCCGGACGTAGCAGGGAAAGAGAAAGCGCCGGCGCCCGACTGGTCTTACCTAAGCGACCGACCCGGACAGAACAGAGCTCATAGGTGAAAGAACTTCACACAAAGCGCTTTTAAACCTTACTCGGTAAATAAGGTAGAAAATTGTTATATATAAACTAATTATAATATAATAATTATAATATTCCATTTTTATATAAAAAGTTATTATATAAATCTTTTTATTATTAAGTTATTTAACTTTTATTATTATTAATTTATTATTTATATATATAAATTTAAGCTATCTCGTCGAAGTTGTAAATATCCGCGTCTTGGATACCATGTTTCGCGATTGCCGCAGCAACTTGGCGAAAACACGCGCAATACGCGTCCGGATCTTCGTTTAAGACCCTCTGGTAGTCTATCCTCCGATAAAAACGCGTCCGGAGGCCTGGTATAACGGCGGGGGCATGAAGTTGGGACAGCCCCCAAGTGGGGACAGTTTCCCCACCAAAAGGCCACAGTTGCACCCCCAGATAACTCCATCTGCATTGAAGCTATAAATTATATAATAAATGCGTTAGAGCCGCTCTTTCCTGGTGTTTTCAGCAATATCAGTTGCTCACACGGTAGCGCCCTAGCTGGCGGATCGCGCGGCGTGAAGATCACACCAAAATGGGCTCGTCGGACTCCTCATCCGTGCCATCACCCTCTTCGTCAACAGCAACCCCTTCATCCTCAGAGGGCTCCAATTCCTCTAAATCTTCTGAATCTGACTCCTCAGAGTCCTCAGAGAGAGAGCTCTCTGATTCGTCAGTATGAAAGTTCTGCAATTCACGCAAAACTCGTTGTCTCTCCTCCCGCTGCTCAATAGCAGCTCGTGCGGCCTCCGTATGCTCGATTTGCTCAGCAACAACGTCCCCAATCTTCCATAGCCGTTGGTCTGGCTCTTTCTCAGGGGCCTTACGGCGCTTTTTTGGTTGTAGATGCTCGATTTTGGCGTCTTTTGCTTTTAGCAGTTCCTTCGCAAGTGCTAGCTTAACCACCATCTCATCGTACGCTCTTGCAACCAAGCGGACTCCTGCTCGCTGCTCAGGGGTCTCAGCAACTGCTGATAGCATCAGGGCGATATCCTGCCCTGATTTAGGGGCTTCTAATGCCTCGGGGGTGTCACGGCAAGCGTACTGAGGAGCTGGGACATGGCCGGCAGCAAGCAGCTATTACTCTATTAACGAGAATATCAAGACTAGAGAGGAAAGGAAGAGAGAGAGAGAGATAGGTACAGTGGGAGGTTGCCCCTTTAAGGGGATCCTCTGGTCAGATCCTTCCCCTATTAGGAGGTATCCACTTGTCATGTGGGAAGGTCTGTGCAGGCCGCCACAGCCGTCACACTACTCCCCCCCTTATCAAAGTCAGTTTACGACAATGATTTCTTACGAGTTCTTCTTACTCCTTGTGCAGAGCCCCTTACAGGCAAGTTGTCTTCCTCATGATCAGTTAGGTCCTGATCATCAGCAGCAGCCTCTATCCATTGCTGTAACCTTTGAGGTGGACTTGGCGCCTTGGGATTTGCCTCATAGAACTCTTTGACGCGTACAGCTGAGCCTCTGAAGTTAGCTGCTGGGTACCACATCGGGTCAGGATCATGACCTGTCCATTCAGCCTGGTACTCCAGCTTGCCCCGGGTTTGGCGGGAGGACAGAATTTTGTTAACTTCCCACTCAGGAACCCCATCCATGTTGACGGGAGGCGGTGGAGGGATCACCTGACCTGGGACAGGGTTATTTGGTGACCGTACTAAGCGGCTTGCATTGATAACCCGATGAGCGTTTATCCCAGGGGGTAAGTCAATCTCAAAGGCATTCTCATTGACCTGTTTGATAACCCGATATGGTCCCATATAGGGGTTGTCCAACCCATTATGTGGGCGGTCAGTGCGCCATGCTCCTTTGCGGACATATACCATATCTTCTGGCTTCCAGTCGATTGGTCGTCGGGATTTGTCAGCCTGTTTCTTGTACTCTGTTTGTGCCTTAAAGAGGTTGGTTTTGGCCGATACCACAGCCTGTGCCCGGCGTTCAGTAAACTCTTGAGCGTCTGAACGACTCAGCTGCTCTGTAATAGGCGTCTTTCTTGAGAGAGGACTGCGTTTATTCCAGTCAAACTTCATGACTGGAAGAAACCCCATTTCAACCTCAGCTGGAGATAAGCCAGTACTTGCATGAGATTGTGTGGCATTAGCAAAATCCAGACAGGGCAGCAATTGAGACCAGTCATCCTGAAAATGGCTTATAAAGGGTCAGAGCTTGGTCTGGAGGAACTGATTGATGATCTCTGTCTGACCATCTGTCTGAGGGTGCTCTGCAGTAGAGCGGCGTAGGTCCATCCCTGTAAGCTTGGCTAGTTCATCCAAAAAGGCAGCAATGAACTGGGGACCACGGTCTGAAGTTACAGTCTCAGGGGTGCCATAGACCCTCCAAGGTCCATTGAAGTATAAGGTGGCAAGGTCCTTGGCTGTACATGTCTTATATGTTGGAATAGACCACGGGTGTTTGCCTAGTCGGTCTACCACCACATAGATTGTGTCATAGCCTAGCTTGTCTTTTGGCATGGTCTTGAAGTCCATAGAGACATGTTGCCAAGGACGATCTGGTATAGGCAGAGGCTGTAGCAAGCCGGCTGGCTTAAGACGGGAATTGCGGCCTCTGCCACATTCTGGGCAATGAGCGCAATAGCGGTCTATAAAAGCACCCATACCAGGCCAGGAATAACGCTCTGCTACTAAGGCACGCATCTTGTTCCGACCAGGGTGTGCACGGGAAGGTAGTCTGTGAATCTCATCACAAAGTTGTGTGTGTAGGTGCCCCTTATCAGGCACCACAAGGCGTCCCTCTTTCAACAATAAGCCATCAACAAGACTATAACCCTGCTGACTGTGTTTGGCTTTTTCCCGCTCAAGGAATAGGGTCTCTGAAGAGCGGTTGGCTGTCAAGATGGCATCAATAAGCTGAACACCCTCTAGAGAACCGTCTGGGTCCTGGTTGTTGGCTTTCAAGGTGGCCATAATGGCACATACCAGGTTGTCTTCTGGACTAGGTGACGAGTCGGTCACAGGCAGGTCAACGGGTCCATTGAACCTTTCAACAGGTAGGGGGATCTGGTAGCAACTTTCATCCTTGATGGCCTTTTGTGTAGCCAGATCTACAGCTTTCTGTGATAGAGTATCAGCTATCAGGTTCTCCCTACCTGGACAGAAAGAGATAGTAAAGTCCAGGCCCGAGATATCCTCACTCCAGGCTGCTTGTCGAGCATTGAGCTGTCGCTTAGTGACAAAGTACTGGAGTGCCTGATGATCTGTGAAAACAGGAAAGGGATGCTGAAGGGCAGTGAGCATATGGTTCCATTCTCGCATGGCATAGACAATTGCCAGTAGTTCCTTGTCATGGATGGGATAGTTGCACTCTGCTACATTCATAGTTTGCGACAAATAGGCCACTGGATGCCAGTTGTCTTGCTCATCCTGTTGGGAAAGGGCTGCTGAGATTACACTATCTGAAGCGTCTATTTCCAGCTTGGTAGAAGCTGCTTCCTTGAAATATGAGAGCAAGGGAGCTGAGCATAAGGCAGCCTTTAGGTTGTCAAAGGCTCTCTGCTGTTCCTTGGTCCATAGGTACTTGGTTGTCATAATGAGACGGTAAAGAGGTTTAGCTATCCTGCTAAAACTGTCTATGAATTGCCAATAGAAGTCACAAAATCCCAAGAAAGACTGTAATTCTTTAACAGTCTTAGGCTCTTTCCAGTCCCTCACGACGGCAATCTTGGCTTGATCAACTGATATGCCACTGGTTGATATTATATATCCCAGGAATTTTTTTGATGTGACAGCAAACTCGCTCTTTTTGATGTCAGCCTGGAGGCCAGCTTCCCGGAGCTTCTGGAGGACCTTGCGGACATGGTCCCAGTGTTCCAATAGGTCTGCAGAGAAGATCAGGATATCGTCCACATAGGCTGTACAGAACTCGTCCAGATATGGGAACAAGGCCTTGTTGATATATCGCTAGAAGGTACTTGGGCCGTTACAAAGTCCAAAAGGGAGCACTTTGTACTTGTACTGACCAAAGCGCGTGCGGAAGGTCGTGAGATCTTCAGAGGCTGGATCCATGCGGATTCGGTGGAAAGCCGCCCTGATACCCAGCTTGGTGAACAGCTTAGCGCTAGATAGACGTTCCAAAGTTTCGCTGATTAATGGCAGTGGATAGCGGTCCTTTTTTGACTGAGCATTGAGCTCGCGGTAGTCAACACAGAAACGCAAGCCTCTATTTGGCTTTTTGGCAAAGAGAACAGGGGACCCATACTCTGCTCCACTGGGAACAATCCATTCCTTGCGCAAGTGTTCCGTCAGATATTGCTTGAAGGCAATAAGGTGGTCGGCCTTCATGCTATATAAGGGGTGCAGACGAAGAGTCTTAGCCCCTGGCTTGAGCTCGATCTTGTGGTCAATATCCTTGCAGAAAGGGGGTAGCTCGTTGCTTTCTGTCTTGGAAAACACATCCATAAAATCTTGTGCCTCTGGGGGAAGCCTGCTGCGTAGCAGGTGCTGAGTCTCTAAGTCCTCTTTATCAATAGAGTAATCAATAGCTTAATCAAGCTCATATATCGAAAAGGAGAACATATTTCCGTAGCTGTGTCGTTGATGTTGCCCCTTCTGACGGTGACTAGCCTGTCTAAAGAAGGTACTTCCTGAGACTAGGTGGATATCCGCGCCCAGAACGTTCATTATTGCGTCTTTGCTAATCTTGGGATGAACAGCCTGGCGTAGCGAAGTCTTTTGCAAGGATACCAGGCGGTCCCATCCTGCTAGCTGGTCTTTCATAGCCTGCAAGGACTGATGATGGTCTCTTGCCCATATAGC